GCTTGTCGATGATATTTATTCGTCGCAGCTCACGATGCCGTGCTGCCATTCCATTAATGTACCCCTCTCCCCCCTTTCAGGCGTACTGCCGCACCAGCCATCCGGGCCGGTACCGCTCCTGAGCCGGGCGCGTCTGTCTGGGAGCCTCGGCCTCACGTGACGGACAGTTCCTCGCGGCGTCCTCACACAGTCGACGGCGGATGGTCAAGGTAGGAATTTGGGATCGGGTAGAATCACGGATGCTTTATACACAATTTGGGTGTCGTGTATTTGTTTATGTAGTGAAAGCAGATAACTGTCGCATTGACCAGTGATGAGTCTGTAAGATGCGTAGCGGGCCTCGGCGTCGAGCATGGTCAATTGGAATTTTATTGGAACGTTTTCTGACAGTGAACCGTGCTCTGTTTGTGCTGGCACTTACACTGCTCCACAATGTACACCGTTGACAGAGGCAAGCCTGTGCTCTTGTTGCTGGCTTATGTGTTATCTGTTGTTCGTGAGATATGCTATCAACGTCAAGTGGGCACGCTGATCGGAAATTGTCGTTGATACCGCCGGGCCTGTCCCTGATACATCGTCCCCCTACTTTATGAATCTATCAATGCTTATGAATGTTCCATACACAATGAATAAAGCTACCCTCCTCTCGGCTCCGTTTTTTTTTTTTCAGGTATACTGGCCGATTCGGTCCACGATGGACGAAGGCGGTGGGTGAGCTGTGCCATGCCTCGCCAGTTTGTCGGCCGTGGATACAGGCGAGACGCGTGTCGCTGGCCGGTCTGGAGGGCTCACCGCCGCGCCGGCGGCCGCGCAGTGTTGGAGGGAGCTGACGGACGGCAACTTCTGACCTGCAAATACCGCGGCAAGGACAGCCGGTGAGAAACGGGGGAGAGAGGGGGTGAGGAGAGAGTGACGGGGATGAGGAGGGGATGTGCGCTTTAGAGGAAGAGGAGGGGATGAGAAAATAGCGTGCGGTTCAGGCGTTTGCCAGCGTTGAGTTGATGGTGGTTTTTGACGGGAAAATGTGTGCAGGATGAGAGTCTGATAGCGGGAACTACCACTACCGCACGACCACGAGGAGGGAAACGGGAGATGAATCGCGTCGTTTCAGACAAGCGCTTTGTAGAGGCTGGGTTTCCTGTGAGATACTGACATTTAGAGTCAGTAAATGTACTGCATCGTCGTCATGTGGAAAATATTCTAGCCATGCTCTATCCTATCAGCTGTCACTGCTTTGACGTAATGGTGACGCTAATCCGAACTGTATAGGCCATCCAGAAGGTTCATATTAACACTCGCCACCTCTGTGCATTTCAGAACCAAGTGGACCTGTTCGACCGAGACCAGAGTATCTGGAGATGCTGCGCAGCGGGGTGCGTACTCGGCGGCGGCCCGGCGCGCGGCGGTGCGCCCACCTCGGTACCGGTGGCGGCCGGCGCCGGGGCGCTGCGGTACCGTCCCGGCGTCTCCCCAGCCGCCGCCGGCGCCGCCGCTCCGTCCGGGCCGCCGCTGGTGCCCGGCAGCGTCACTGAGGTGCTGGTCGTGGAGGTCGGAGCCGTCAATAACCTACGTGCGGCTGGCGGCGTCCGCCGGCCAGCTGCAGCAGCTGCTCTCACAGCTGAGCGAGACGCTGTCGGTGAGCGGTCAGCAGCTGCCGGCATCTAAATCCGAGTGGGCAAAACTCTGCGCCGTGCTGAAGGTAGGTGAATGGACATGGAAAGTGGAGGCGCTGTGTTTGATCGATCCTCGTAAAATCGCTCTTATCGTCCTTTGATGATGTATCTTCGATGTAAATCTTGAAGTAGGTACTTTTTGTACATAAGTCGACGACCGACGTATATGCATACGAGATAATTCTCATAGATTAATCAAGCAAATGTGTGTGCTCCGTGAAAGGATTTTCTCTCATTTCTCAGTCCGTAGAAATTATCATGTGTAGCGTTCCGCATGTGACACCGTTTCTTGCCAATCCGCTCGCTCCCTGCTGATTCTCACTCCGTCCATCCGCCAGGACGGGTCGTACCAGCGTGCCAAGGTGGTGAGCCTGGGCCGCCGGGACATCAAGGTGCAGTACATCGACATCGGCTCGTCGGAGCTGGTGCCGCTTCAGTCTGTACTGGCGTGGAGCAGAGGTTCGCCACCCTGCGCCCCAGGTCAGTTATACGAGGCGCTTGGAGGATTTGACGGGTCATGAGATGTCTCAAAAGCTGATTACAGAATAGTCAGGAGATTGCGGTGGTCATGTTTCTCCCGGAACTTTGCAATGACGATATTGCAATATGTCATTTTTAGCCATTTTTGTTGAAGATTTGTTGAATTTTTTGGTAGAATTATAATTCGACGAAGGTAATGTTGCTATGCCCCCCCCCCCCGCCATATCCGCTGACCGTCTCCACCCTCCCTGCACCGCAGGCGTTCCACTGCTGTCTGGAGGGTCTGGAGAGCACGCACGCGCTCGGCCGAGCACGTGCGCTTCCTGCAGTCGGTGACGGCCGGCGGCCGCTGCTCTGTACCGTCGTACAGCAGACGGACCGGCGCGTCGTGCGGCTGACCGACCCCCGCCGACGGCCGCCGCTCGACATCAACGCGGCCGTGCGCGAGGCGGTGGCGGCGGCCAGCCAGGAGCCCGTCCAGGGTCAGCTGATCCGCGCACCGCCGGCCGTCAGCGTGGCCAAACGCCGGTGGGTGACGCGATATCGCGCAGAGATTATTCGGGTCTAGTTACACTGGCTTTTTATGTAGTATTCTGTGTTTTTGAAGACGTGTTTTTTTTCTTACCTGGGCTGTTTGGTTTTCTTTGGTCCGTTATTTATTGATTTCGTATTTATTTTTTATTCTGACACTGGCTTATGAATAAGTCTTGGACGAAGCGGGGTTTCGTGACAGACGTGGGACTTGTGATGTTTACTAAAGACGCTATTGACGATTTGTTATCACTGCTTTACCTTACTATCACCGAACTCAGCGGACAGCTTTGTTAGACTAGTGCTAAGCCCCATCACTCATCCCAACACTGATTGTGAAGATACTGATGGTTTTATGATATGAACGTGTCTTTCATACAAGCAAGCAGTCCACCGATAATATGGCATGTCCGGGGACGCATCTGAAATGCTAGTGATAATTCAACGCATCTCCCGACCGACCTGACGGAATTGCTGAGTGCGTACGTCCCTTTACACGTATGCTGTGAATTTTTACCACGACACTCTCCTTATATGACTTCTCCCCGCTGGGCGCTGACCTTTGCGGGCTGCGGCTCCCCTGTATCTCAGGTGGAGGTGGGCCGCGCGGAGCAGCTGGTCGCATGTCGAGTCGCCGTCCAGCTGGTTCGGCCAGCTGGCCAAGCTGGACGCCGACTCGCTGGCGGCCATGGAGGAGGCCATGCAGACCCGCTACTCGGCGGGCGGCAACCAGCCGCTGAGCAGCGCGCCCATCGGAACCTACTGCGCCGCCTTCTCCTCGGTGCACGAGGCCGTGTTCCGCGCCAAGGTGGGAATGGCAGAGTTTGGGATATAAATAGGAACGAAGAAAGTAATTGCGTAATGCATGAAGGATGGGATTTGGAAGGTTTTGGTAGTTAGCGAAATGCGCGAAAAGTGTCCGTCGATGCCTGGCTTAGGTCTGCATGGTTGTTTGAAGGTTAATGGTGTGCAGCAAGCCCACATAACAATCTGAGCTCTTGTTCTTGGGGCCGAGTTTTCCGATGCGTTTGTCAGATACCAAGAGAGCAGGAATTCGTGTGAAGCGAGAGTGGCATTCCTTCCCTCGCACACGCCGATAACATAACACGGGAGGGAGGGCTGCGGGTCTGCTCGCATGTCTCCCGAAATAGCCCGGTCGTTAGCAGAGGGACCGGCCGGGCCGCCGAACTGACAACTGTGGGGTGTCAGTATCGGCGGCTGCCCCTCAGTGTACTCTCGTCGCTCTGGTATAACGGAGCCTCCTCAGGACGTGCAGTCTAGTACGGACTAGAATACAGCGACTGTGCAGTGAGAGATGATGCACCTCTGTTGTTACGTGTGTTTCACGTCTCTGTGTGTTTTCCAGGTAATCGGCCGCCAGGGTACTCAGGTGACTGTGTTTTTCATCGACTACGGCGATAGAGAGGAGACGAGCGTGTCCAACGTGTTCCCGCTGGCGGCAGAATTCACACAGCTGCCGCAACTCGGTAAGCGTGGGTTGACCATACGCTGCAGACAGCTTCCAGCAACCTACCCGGAGTACCTGTGACTCGTCATTTTCACTTGCCACGTCTTGGTGATTGTATCACCCACATACACTTCAGTACTTCGTTGTCTAGCAGATGACAATGTCTCTATGGTGATGGACTAAACAAAACGAGGGTATTAAAGTAGCCAAATTATTCCAAAATTTCCTTACCAAAACCAGAAGATTCTACTAACACGAGCATTTTCAGCGGCGGAGGGCGGGCTGCATGGTTCGTGGTTTGCCGACTGGGGGCAGTCAGCGTAACTACCGAGTGGCGGGTGTGGCGCGACACGGCGGTGGTTTGATTGCTTTTAATGTTTTGTTTGTTCTGTTCTTCCATTGTTCACGTTACGTTACAGTTTCTCAGAGAGGTGCTTTAATTTAAGAATTTTATTCTTTTGCACCGATCTAATTTATATATTTGTTCTTGTCTGTTTTGTTCGGAATGTCAAAATATATATGTCTATGTCTATGTCTATGTCTATGTCTATGTCTTACGCAGCGTTCCAATAAATTCCCAGGACCCAGGATGTATTCAGAGTTTGTCTTCCCTGTCTTTCACGCTGTCTTTTCACAGCTATAACTGGTTCCCTGTCATTCAGTCTGGATGCCCCCTTTTCCAGACCGTATTAATTGACCCCATTCTTCCTCCACCCAGGTATCTCGTGCTATCTGCAGGGCGCCGGCGCCGTGTCTGCTGACGCGTTCCGCGCCGCCGTGCTCAATCAGACTGTGGACGTGGTGCTGCGCGCGTGCCGGCCCGGGACTGAGGTGTACGAGGTGGCTCTCCTCCAGCCCCACCAACCGACCCATCATGGAGAAACTGGTGCCGGCCGGCCTCCGCGAGGTGCCCGGTGAGTTATGGGGTGTGTGGAGGATGGACGGGGAGCGAGGCTCACCGGGCGTATTCGATAACAGCAGCATCGTCCAAGGCAATGAAAAAGTGTGACAGTTAAAACAATCTTGCGATTCGTAGGTAGAGATAAAGGGTTTCTCACCTCCGATTCGGGCCTCTTGATAACTTTTGTTGTAAAATCTGGTCGATTATTTAGAAGGATCACATCTCCATAAATATGATCTGTACGTCACTGGCTCGCCTCCCGCAGAGAGCGGCACGCCGCCGTCGTCCTCCCGTCCTGCGGGCGTCGGCTCGGTGTCCGGCCCGCCGCAGCTGCCGCAGCAGCAGCTGCCCGTCGGCGTCTACAAGGAGGTCGAGGTGGTACACGTCGTCACGCCGGCCGAGTTCTACGTCCAGATGAAGGAGCAGTTCCCCGCCGTGGACGCCATTCAGGAGCAGGTGGCGGCGTACGCGAGCCAGCCGCCGCCGACCGCGCCGCCGGCCGTCGGACAGACGGTGGCCGCTCTCTACCCGGACGACGGAGTGTGGTACCGCGGGCGGGTGCTGGAGGCCGCCGCCGGGAAGGTGAGGAGGGAGGACGGGACTTGGGGGAGTAGGGTTGAAACTTGAATAGAGTTGATAGAATAAATGATTGACTTCCTTTGACTAGATGGATTGGTGAAGTGGACTGACGACATCAAGCTATAACCGCGGTGATAGGTCTCTGAGCGTAATATATAGGGTATCGGGTCTAGCGGGCTGAATTGCTTACATGGTAGTAAGATTTTCTGTTCTTCCTAACGTGTGCTGTCATGGTATCTAGTCAACCCTTCTATCCTTTATTCAACCTAGAAACTGTTCAGGACTCACCACTAACTTCCCCATCTCACCGCCCTTTGTTAACTTCAGGTGACGGTGTTTTTCGTCGACTACGGCGACACACGCTCGGTGTCTCTGGCTGAGGTGCGCCCGCTGCGACCGGAGCACGCGGCGCTAGCCGGCCAGGCGATCCGCTGCTGTTCCTCAGACGTGGGACGCTCCGGGCGAACCAACTGGTCCGAACAGGAGGTAGGTGAACAGCGGGGGCGCAGTGATCGGCTGCGTCTGGTGCTGGATAAACTGTGGATGTCAGTTATCAATGGTCAGCGGTCACCTTAAAAGCTTGAAAGAAGGTTAGCGAGGGTTATAAGTTACGGAACGATAAATACTTATTAAAATAACCATGACATGTCAGAACAGAGGACTCGAGTTGCCTGAATTGAATATGCGAGATGAGTAACGATGGCAAGGGACGTCTTCCGTCTGACGGAGCGGCGCCTTTTCTTCCATTTGTGACAGTCCCTGTTCCGTTATAAGTGAAGCCACGGCGCGTTCCTGTCCTCAGATTGAGAGTTTCCGCGCGGCGGTGATGGAGGTGCCGTACCTGGCTCGCTCCGACGAGCTGCGGGCCGGCACGCCATCGTCACTTTAGCCAAGGCTGAGCTGCTGGAGCCGGTGCTGGGCCAGCCGGGGCCAGCGCCGCGCCGCCCGTAACACGACAGACGAGCGGAGACTACACCAAGAAACTACCCCGCGCGCCGACCTGGTGAGAGAGGCCGACAGCCAGAAAATGGTGTGGGGCGCATGAATGCTGTGAATGAGTACTGAATGCTATCATCGTTCAGATTTTGAAATTGTACTCGTGGTAGCTCGGTATGCTTCAAATGCGTTCGTCTATGCTGCCCGTGTAAAGGTAGCGTTGTTACTCATCTCGTTTGAACTCGACGCGACATATTTACACCATAGCATGATCCCCTGATCGTTTCTCTGCAGCTGTTGACCCGTATCTCCACCGCAGGACCACAACTGGCGAGACCGCCCGGCCGGCGCGGGCCCCACCTCGCCCCCGGCGTCCTCCAGTGACCCGTTCTCCGGCCGTATGAGGAGGACAGCCAGAGTCGTACTCCCGCCCTCAGCGGAGCGGCGGAGGAGGCGGCGGCCCAGCCAGAGACTCCTGGGGCGGCGGGGGAGGCGGTGGTGCGGCCAGAGACTCCTGGGGCGGCGGAGGAGGCGGGGATGCCCGCGGTGGCCGTGAGAGGAGCTGGGAGGGCACGATGACCGTGCCAGCCAGGAGCGCAGCTGGGGCGGCCACGATAACCGCGGCGACAGAGGGGCGCCGGACGGAGCCAGCGCGTTCGCGGCGGACTCGCGGCCTCGGGAGGGGGCGGTCGGCCCGACCGCGGCGGCTCCAACTGGCCGGGCAGCGGCAGGACGCGCGGCGGACAAAATGGATCCACTGGAGACGACTGGTCCAGTGGAGGCGGAGGGGGCCGGCCCAGAGGACAGGACCGGAACGCCAGCGGCGATTCGTGGTCGTCCGGCGGCGGCCGCCCGATCCGCGGCGGCGGGGGTGATGTGGGCGGCCGTCCGGGCGGCGGGCGCCAGCCGCCCGCGCCTTCCGTCTCCATCCCCGAGCACAGCTGCCGGCTGACCCCGGCGGCTCTGCGGGCGGGCGCTGAGCTGCGCGCCGCTCCCACCTGGGTCTGCGGCCTGCACGAGTTCTACCTGCAGCCGCTGGACGGTGCCGAGCCGTTCAACACACTGATGACCGAGATGCAGACGTTCTACGGCGGCCTGCGGCGGCCTCAGGACGGTGCCGAGACGCACCCGGCCGTCGGTAAGCCGGTGGCGGCCCGGTTCACCGACGGAGCCTGGTACCGCGCCGTGGTGAGGCGGGCCGCGCCTGCCGGGCTGGACGTGTTCTTTGTGGACTACGGCAACTCGGCCACTGTCGACAAACAGCTGGTGAAGCGGCTGAAGGAGGAGTACTGCCGACTGCCCTGCCAGGCGTACAAGTAAGTCCGACAGTCTGTCATGCCTTTAATGTTGTATTGATAACGGTTGGAGTTGCAATGTGATTTGCATAACATTATGGTTGGCTCACAAGTCAAATAAGAGATAAACGTAAAACCCGGGTATCATCAATTATGTAAGGAATCTGTCGATAACCCGTCGTGGAACTGTCAATGCTAGGATACCTCAAAATGTTTGCTTTTACGCCGTCAGGTGTCAATTTGGAGGCGTGAAGCCGGCCGGCGGCAAATGGAAGGTCCTTTCAGAGCAAGAGCTGGCAAAGTACTTCGAGGGTGAAGTGCAGGTAAGATGCAGAGATCGGTGGCGGCCACCATAGCTCTTTGTAGTGTTTGAATTTCTCCCAAATTCTGCCTTCGACACCAATTACTGCCTAGCAATATTTCAGTTAAAAGTTAAAACCGTGGGGCATTACACAGCAAAAGCCACTGGAGAGCCATGCAACTATATTTCATCGCAGCCACTGTGTACCATCTTTCTATTACGATTGCCTACTTTCCCACGTCCGTTTCTCGCCGCATCTCCCGACTGCGCTGATGGCGGCCCGCCTGACACCCGTCTCCCTCCCCAGGTAACGTGTCTGAGCGCTGAGGGCGACCTGTCGTCAGTTGAGGTGGCACTCACCTCCTCTGGACAGCGGGCCACCGATCAGCTGGTGGCCGACGGACTGGCGGAGCGGCCGGCCGCCGCGCGACCCGTGCAACAGAGCGGTCAGTGGAGGAGGCGATACGGAGCATGGTGGTTTTGACTGTTTTGAGTATTTTGTTCATTTCGACTTCTAGAAGTTTCTAGAAGGAAAAACATTGGCTGCTCAGTGCTCAATCCATGCCGCATACCAGAGTAACCAGTACCTGACTTCCAAGCATAACATTTTACATTGTTTTTTTATGGCTTACCTGTAAGCAAACAATTACACTTAATTGTAGATTCGGAACTGCTTTCAACTGAACTGTAACTAAGCCTAACAGTACTGTATCTCGCCCTGGTTACCTGTTCCAGCTCCTCATAACATTTCTACGCCACCACACGTCTCATCCCCCGCCCCTCTTTCCGCTGTTACGCAGGTATCGGGCCGTACCCGCCGCTGGAGCGGCCCTTCTCGGCCGGTGAGCGAGTGGAGGTGTTCGTGGCCTGCGTCCTGTCTCCGTCCCGGCTGTACGTCCAGCTCAGCGAGAACACGGCGGAGATCGAACAGATGGCCACCGACATCGAGGCGTCCACCACAGACTGCAAGGTGCGTACTTGCGTAGTGATGTGGGGGGTGGTTGTCATGTCACGTTATTGATCGTGTCCGTCCTTTTTCGACTCGACGGCACCTGCCCCTGGCGAGCACCTTTTAATCTTCGCTCACCCCCGAGATTTCCCTCTCAAGAAGCTCAACGTCGGTTCCCGCTGACCGTTGTATTCTCGACAGGTCCCGTGTCCGGACGTGGCCCCCGAGGAGCTCTGCCTGGCGCCCTTCGAGGGTGTCTACTATCGCGGACTCATCACGGCCGTCGACGGACAGACGGCATCAGTGTTCTTTGTCGACTACGGCAACACCGAGCGCGTCAATGTGTCAGAGGTAGGTTGAGAGAGGAGCTGTAGAAGATAATATGGGGGCAGGTTGGTTGTGATAATACGATGGATGTGGGTTATTGGCTGAGCTGGTTTTGTTTGCTTGCTACGTAGTAGGTATTCGTTTGTCTCCCGGCGGCGCTGGTGTTAGCATATGATCAGCTAATAACGTGCTCAGGCTGGTCTCAGCATGCAGGCTATGGGTGTCGTTAAGTATAATGCTCCCCTTTCCCCCCAATGCGGTGCCTGACGTGACATCCCATCCCTTGCCCCATGTTTCAGCTGGTCGAGTGTCCCATGTCGCTGGTGGACCTGCCCGCTCAGGCGATTCAGTGCAGTATGACCGGACTGGTGTCAGCCGACTGCGGCGATCAGCTGGCCGCCAAGGTCGACCAAATGGTGAGTTCTCCTGACGTGGCTGCCATCAGGCTGGTGTTTCCATGGTGTAGTATTCAGTTGCTGTCGTTACTCTACCTGGCTGCTCAGCTCTTAGCTTTCAAATATCTAAGATCTGAAAGGACCTACTTACGTCCCCTGACTCTGATCGACAGATTGACCCCTGTTCACGTCTTCCCCTTTCCAGGAGCTGACGGCTCTCGTCGACCGTGTGCTGCCCGGCTCTCTAACCGTACCCCTCATTCTTCTCAGGAGCTGACAGCTCTCGTCGACCGTGTGCTGCCCGGCTCTCTGATCGTCACCCTGCTCAGCGGCAGCACCAACATCAACCTGGAGCTGGGCGGCGACGGACAGGCGCGCTCCCCCGAGCCGGCCGCTAAGAAGGCCGCTGCTCCTACCTCTGCTCCCGCTCCGGCTCCTGCTGCGGCTGCTCCAGTGGCTCCGGCTCCGGCCCAGGCGGCTCCTGCAGCTGAGGAAGCCACAGAGACTGCGGCACCGTTCACTCGCGTGACCGTCTCGTTTGCGGTGACGCCGCACGAGTTTTACGTTCAGGACGCGGCGGACGGCCCAGCGGCGCAGTTGGACGAGCTGATGGCTCAGCTGGAGACTGAGTACAGCCAGCTGGGACCCCAGGACAGGGCTGTGAAACAGGTCAGTGGTCGTGTGGGTCGGGATCGGACGTGGCGGTGGCGCTCAGTGAAAAGCGGGATGTATGGTAAATTGGTGTTCTTTTTGTTGACAAAATGACGATAAACTCAATAAAATTTCAACTGCTTTTTTAAAGATTTGGACTGAAGCTTACGAGGGATGGAAAACATCTTCTGTTGTAAGGTGATAAATGCTTCGCAACCCGGCTTTAAAATATCGCGGTAAATACTCAGTCGATATCACGCCTGGGTAGGACATGCCGCTGTGTGTCCCTGTCAGACCTCTGACTCCCGCACCCATCCCCCACGTGCAGACCGCTGACCCGCCCCCATCCATCCGCCAGGCACAGACCGCCGACGCCCTCTCCCCCCCCCCCCCCCATCCATCCCCATGTGCAAACTGCTGACGTCCCGCCTCCATCCCCCAGGTGCAGACCGGTGATCTGGTGGCGGCGCCGTTTGCCGATGACGGCGTGTTCTACCGCGCCCGTCTGCTGACAGCCGAGCCCGGCGCCGCCGACTGCCAGCTGCACTTCATCGACTACGGCAACTGCCAGCTGACGCCCCGCGCCCAGCTGAAGCTGCTGACGCCCGGCCTGCTGGCTCCGGCGCCGCTGGCGCAGCGCTGCCGCCTGCCGGAGCGGCCCGCCGCCGGGCAGTGGACGGACGAGGACACGGAGCTGTTCGAGCAGCTGGCCGGTACCCTGGAGAAGGCGCTGGCGCTCCGCAGGGAGGCGGGCGGTGCTGAGGACGTCTGGACGGTGCGGCTGCTGGACGGAGATACAGACGTGGGACGGGAGCTGGTGAAGGCCGGACGGGCCCTGCCGCCCGGGCAGGAGCCTCCCGCGGCTGTGGCGGAGAAGGTGACGACTGAGGCGGCTCCCGTGCAGGAGACCGCCGCCCAGAGCTCCGCCCAGCCGGCCGGCCCGGTGGGCGCGGCCCGACTCAAGAACGGCCAGCTGCTGGAGGCGGTCGTGGTGTTCGCACTCAGTCCGACCGACTTCTGGGTGCAGCTGAGCGCAGACACCGCCACTCTGGACGACCTGATGGCGCGCCTGGAGGCAGCTCAGCTGAGCTCCGCCGCCGCGCCCGCCGCCGGCCAGCTGCTGGTGGCGCGCTACGCTGAGGACGAGGCGCTATACCGCGCGCGCGTCCTCTCTGTGACCGGCGACACTGCGACTGTGCTGTTTGTTGACTACGGTAACACGGAGTCGGTGCCAGCGGCCGAGCTGTGGTCGTGCCCGCCGGATCTGTCCGGCGTGCCGCCCCTGGCCGTGCGCTGCTCACTGCCCCTGGAGCCGCAGCCGTGGTCAGACGCCGCTGTGGACAAATTCTCGACTCTGGTCGGTGTCGGCGGCGCCGAGGAGCGTACTCTCAACATGGAGCTGGTGAAGGCCGGCGACCCGGCGCTGGTGAACCTCTTTGACGGCCAGCAGGACGTGGCGTTTGAGATGGTCGGTGCCGGGTTCGGCATGGTGCACGTCGAGGAGCGACCAGTGCTGGTGCCGGCCGCACAGAAGGCGGCCGAACAGCCCGCACCCGCCCCGCCCGCGCCCGAGCCTGCGGCCCCTGCAGCAGAGGCCGTGAAGACTGATGTCACCGAAGCGGAGAGCGAGCCGGCGGCACAGGCCGACGAGACGACCGAGTCCCAGGCGGCGCCGGTCCCGACCACCCCCGCCGGTGACCAGGCTGTGTTCGTGTCGCACGTTAACTCACCGCTCGAGTTCTATGTGCAGTCGGCCGACACCGGGCCGCTGGACGAACTTATGGAGAGGCTGGCGGGTGAGTTCCCTGCTGCGGCTCCCGTGTCGGCCGCCACTCCAGGCCTGCTAGCAGCCGCACCCTACTCAGAGGACGGAGCGCCGTACCGCGCCCGGGTGCTGGCGGTGGAGGACGGTCAGGCGCGGGTGCTGTTTGTGGACTACGGAAACTCAGAGTCTGTGGATGTGGCCGAGGTGCGGGAGCTCGGTGCCGAGCTGGCGGCGCTGCCTCCCCAGGCGCGTCCTTGCCAGCTGGCGGTGGATGTCTGTGAGGAGGGGGCCACTGAGAAGCTCCGGGAGCTGACCGAAGCGGAGGAGGAGCCGGTGACTGTCAGCGAGGTGGCCGCGGGCGCCGTCACTCGGGTCCGGCTGACGCTCTCCGCTGGGGACGCCGCTCAGCTGCTGGTGGAGGCGGGCCTGTGCCGGCCGCGCGAAGACACCCAGCTCCCGGCCGCGCCGCCGCCGCCCGCCGAGCCGCTGAGCCTACTCGTCTCGCACGTGGACTCCCCGGCGTGCTTCTTCGCGCAGCGTCTGAGTGACCTGGCGGCGCTGGACGAACTGGCCGACCAGCTGGCGGAGCTGTACGACGCCACTGAGCCCCCGCCGGCGCTCCCCGCCCCCTGCTGTGGTGACCTGTGTGTAGCCCGCTCGGCAGAGGAGGAGGGCTGGCACCGGGCGCGCGTCGTGGCCGTGTCGCCGACCGGAGACGTTCGTGTGCGGTTGTTGGACTACGGCTCGGTGGCGGCAGCGACTGAGGTACGCGCCGCGGCGCCGGCTGTGTGTCGGACGCCGGCCGTGGCTCTGCGGTGTCGGCTGCCGGCGCGGCCCGCTGACGGCGCCGACTGGGGACAGGAGGCGACGGCGGCGCTGGCCGAGCTCTGTGACGCCGCCCATTACGAGTTCGACGCGCGTCTGGTGGCGGAGGCCGATGGGGAGCCGCTGGTTGCCCTGCTCTGTCTGGAGGGTCGCAGTGTCACGCAGACCCTGCAGGAGCGTGGGGTGGCGATGGTACCAGAGTCGCTTGCCGCAGAGAGCGTACAGGTCAAGCCAGCAGAAGAAGTGACTAAAGAGAAGAAGCCAGTAGAAAGAGAGACTGAGACGAAGCCGTTTGAAGAAGCGTCTGAAAAAGAGAAGCCGGCTGAAGGAGCGTCTGAAAAAGAGAAGCCAGCTGAAGAAGCGTCTGAAAAAGAGAAGCCGGTTCAAGAAGCGCATGAAGAAGAGAAACCGACGGACAAGGAGGGGACAGATGATAGAGTTGCTGAGGAACTGGATAACCTGTCTTTGACGGAGCGGCATGAAGAGGGTGAGACTAAGGGCTCGACTGAACCCAGCTCTCAGGAACCTACCGAAACCGAGCAAGCAGAGCAGAACGCAGATGAAACAAAACAGGGTCTAGACGAGTCGAAATCACACGAGACGGGTAAATCCTCAGAAGCGACAGATTCATCGGAAGAAACACAACGTGATTTGGAAGAAGATAAGACTGATCAGAAGTCTGAAGTGACGGCCGGCGCCTCTGAGGAAAAGACAGCTGATTCTGACAAGGAGGCCGTCGCTGAGAAACCTTCCTCTTCGGACTCTGCCGCGCCGGCCGACGCTGCGGAGACCGAGGAGAGCACCTCGAAGGTCGATGAGGATACCCCGGGCAACGGCCACGTGAGCCCCGTGAACGGTGACGATGTGCCAGAGGCGGCGGCGCAGAGCGTCGGCCAAAAGGCGAGTGCTGTCGAAGAGGCGCCGGACGCCCACGAGGATGCCCAGGCGGCTGCGTAGCGGACTGATTGTTTTTCGAGGCTTTGGTGGTCCATTTCCTAGCCGCTTTTGCCAGCCGCCCGGGCAATTTGATGCGGGGCGTATTGGCCATGGTTATCCACTTTTTATCCGTTTTATTGAGCTCTTATCCGCCAGCGTCACTGGTCGTGCTATCGGCTCAGTGAGCCACGCTGCCCGCCAGATGCTTTTGCTCGTTGGAGAGGCGCTATGAACTGGTTGATCCGGGCAGGGATGCGAAGTGTTCGGTGGTGATTTGATGCTACCTTTGTCATGGCAAGTGATTGTATTTTCTGTAATAAAGGGTTAAACAGATGAGTCATCGATTCTTTTCTGTTCATGCAGTAGGCCTCCTTGAAGATCAGGCAGGGATTTCAAGCCAGTTTGAGGGCTACAGGGCACCGGCAATGGGCCTTGGTTTGGTGTCTCACTGTGCTTGGGCAACTATTTCGGGTTTACTTCGTCGTTGTTTACCGCGGCTGAAGGTTGTCACTCAGGTGTTGGCTGGAATTATAATGCGCGATCGTAGCGGTCGGCGGGTCTCTGGGGTCGCTGGGACTGGACTGCACCATTTTAGGGTCTGCTGTACCGCAGATGACGAAAGACAAGCGAGCATCAGTTTTCAGAATTATAAATGATGACCTTGCATTTGACATATGGGAAAAGCGGCTCGTTTACCTATAACATGCCTACCACGGCATTCATCAATAATTGTTAACGTTATTGAGAATGTAAGGTTATTTTTATGTGTTGTGATTTCTAAGACTTTTGGCGCGTAGTTTCTAAAAGTTGCAGTAATTTAAAGCAAGACCAATTGCTGTATTTTATTCCAAGATCAATTTGGTTCATAAATGACGCAGATAGGACAAACCAGTTGTACAATATTTTCTGAGGAATTGAATAGAAACAGACAGGACATAACTCGGAAATAACGCTCTGTGTCATTTGAAAGAAAGTGCTTTTCGTCATTTGCAAGGTAAGGTGTGATATGTCTGACTCACCTGCATTCGCCATCTGTCTGCATCAAAATTTTGTATCACCTAATCGTTGCATGTCCTGGAATCTTGATTGTGATCTGCCGCCCGCCATCTGCGTATTTGATAATTTCACAACGGGGTCTCAGTCTGTGGATCAGGGACTTTTTGTGGTCAGTTTCATCTAAGGCATTTTGAGTATGATTGAAATGGTTAAATGGTTGCGAAATTCGAATTCAGCTCAGTAGGTGGAACTATGGTCATGAGTACCCAAATATAGGAACGTTCCCATTTTTGGGAACGGAGTTCCCAAATATGGGAACGGGCGTTCCCATTTATGGGAACGGAAGGTAATTTTTCGGCCGTTCGCCCACTAAAACTCATTAGTGCATCACGTCTCAAAAAAGTGCACGCTAATTTAAGTATCTACTAAGTCTCTATAAAATTATCTTTAATCTGACCGTTGCACAAGGAAATTGACCGTCGAATGATATTTTTAATGATTTTTTGAAATGACGGAATGGTGAAAACATGGGTTATACTACATTTAACTTGCAATTTTAAGGAAAATTAAGCGTTTTTTACATTTTGAGGTCAAGTATAATAATTTTCGCCTGGTTATGAAGTTTCATACTAGCGACACCAGATGCTGACATATGCAAGCGAACACGCGGACAGTCCGGGGGTAATATTGGTGACATTTGTTGTCGGGGCGCACGACCGCATGGAACGTCAGTGATTTTACCGAACTACTGTTGTAAACTCAGTTTCAGTGGTTTAAAATTATTCAGCTGTATTTTATCATCCCAGAAAGACATATTTTATTTGGATGCTAGCTGTTTAGAGTTGTTTTATAAGGAGCGTCATGAGCGTGGTTTTTGTCTTCCGTGTTGCTAAGCGTGATCGTTTTGGGGGAATTTCTCTTATATAGGTCGCTCTGTGTGGCTTATTTATAATTTTTATGCTGATTTCGATCATTCCTCGTGCCCATCCTACCAGGCCTTTTGCCACTTACACTCATCAAGAAAGGAAAAAACTAGATTTTCATTGGGACTAGGTGTTTTGAGGGTGTAACATATTCAGCGTTCCCATTTTTGGATACTTCCTTGTGCTCGTCAACTATCGGTGATAAACAGACAGGTGCTTGACATGTCTCCGCCCTCGGCGCGGACGGTGGATATAGGTATGGAAGACCTTGTTGAACATCGCTGAGCGTTGTGAATTACGTAATCCTGCAGAGGGGGGCGTGCCCGCTGCGAGATCGACGGGAATAAAAGCGCAGAAGACCGGGCGAAACATGCGACGGTCTTGCCGGAAAGGTCATCTGATGATTGTTGCGTTGACAATAATTCGCGGCGTTGGACGTGATGCTTGTTAATGAAAAGAGCCCCTGAAAGGCGTCGGTGAAAGCGTTCCCAATTTTGGGTACGCCGTTCCCATAATAAGGAACGCTTGCAGCGCCAGTGTACGAGAGCGTTCCCAAATTTGGGCTCGTGGCCCGGATGATGGACTGCTTTAGAAATAGGGGAATGATTTGAAACTACGATGGGCCTTACAATATCAAACTCTTTCCCAACAATATTGAGACAAATATCAGGCGGTTCACGATCGTTTTATATTTTTTGGACGTCATTTAACGGTTCTTTTTCTTGTTTTAAATAATGCCTACATGGCGTTCCCATATTTGGGTTTATCGTTCCCAAACATGGGAACGATAATGCGTTCCCGAAAATGGGTACGCTTGACCATAGTTCCGCCTACTGAGCTCCAAAAACTAGTCTAGAAACATGTAAAACTCGAAAAATTGAACAGTGACGGGGTCTTGGTCTTGGAAAGTAGGTCAAAGGTCATTTGGGTCAGGGTCATACAAATTTCAGGGTAGGTGTAAAATTGATCAGTGCTAGGGGACTGAAAGTTTTGTCGCAATCAATCGCTTTTTACCCGAGTTATTCGGGAAAAACTAGGGGGTTGCATCATTCATCACCCCCCCCCCCCATGCCGGCAAGGATAAATAATGCTGTCATATTTCCCAAATATTGCTTGTGATTTTAGAAAATTGCAACCATACTATGCTCCAGCCCACTGCCTCATGCCTGCCTCCAAATCTCATATCTGGCCCACACCCAAAACAGGTTGCTAACCTGTGTAGGTATGTGATCCACAGGGTGATTAGGATCACAATAAGACAAAAATTCAGAACTAAATGCTGTCTATTTGTATTATTATCATTCTTCAGTTAATAATTGTGGTGAACTATATCTCCTTTAACTGTTATTTGCATTCATAAACATCACATCACAATACTGAAGGATTTGAACTTGGAAGTGGTAGGATACCTACCAGAGTCAAACTGACCGCACACTAGCTGTAGCTGGTCATTTTGGAAGTTTAACTTGCACAATTAAAAGATGTGCTCATGGAATGTTGTTCAATGCTTGGTAAAAAAATACTAGCTTTTTGGCAACACTTTCATTCAAGACAAACTCACCATTCACGAGTACAGGCCTGAGGCTAGTGTGCGGTCGGCTCATGGTTGCGTCCCGTGTTTCAGGAATAAGGAGTGGTGTCTCTAGTTCTGGGCTCTCCACCATCTGTACTGCATCTTGGAGACAAGCCATTCTCGCCTCTCCCTCCTTGCCATGCGCTCCAACGCCAAGGACATGGCTGCCGTGGCCGAGGGACGTGCTGACTTGGAGGGCCGGCTCAGCCACAAACCGCCCCGCTCCGGTCTGCGCGAAGAGCGGACGCGCGAGCGCTGGTTCAAACTGCGCCACAACCTGCTGTTCTACTACCGTCTAAACGAGTACGGCGGCGTGTCGGCCGACGGCCCGGCCGGCCTGTTTGTGCTGGAGAATGTGCACGTGCAGCCAGAGCCGTTTGCAGAGGGCATGTCGTTCTGCTTCAGCCTGACGTTCGACAGCGACCGCGAGCGACGCCACCTGATGGCCTGCGTGAGCGCCGCCGCCGCCGACCAGTGGGTGGCCGCGCTGCGAGCCGCCTCATACGAGAGCAGACGCAAACAGCTCAAGGAGCTGCGCAGCAAGCTGCTCAACCTGACCGGGCGCGACCCGCTGCGGCCGTTCCCGGGCGCGCGCGCGCTCAAGAATGTGACCAGTGTGGAGGAGGATCGTAGCGGGGGCCGGCCGCGCAGCTCCTGGGCCAGCGGGAAGGTCAGCGCGCGAGACGCCACGTTCCGCAGTCATCTGATACCGAACGGCGGCGCGCAGACCAGCAGCCTACTGGACTGAGTCTGTCGGCCGGCCGGTGGGCATGCCGCGAGGAGTGCGCTGGGCTGCGGACGATTGGGTGCGCGTGCTCAGTGGATGTGACAGCTGACTGTGGAGTGAGGCCGAACGCTGGCTGCTTAGATCCGTGCGGGGCTACAAATGACGGCGCATCTCCGTGATCAGTGGCATGGCAGCTACGCTGTGATCCTACAAATGTTGTTCAGCGCTCTTGCCACTCCGTAATATTCATAATGTGAGGCTTCTATTTAGCAGATCTGCGTTATGGACGATCTGCAAAGGCGTTATTTATTTGCTGCATCTTCAATGTTTTCGAGGCAATCAAACTGGTACTCTTAATGGACTGGGTGTGAGACGTGAGTGATCTGCGCCTGGATCTGTTGTCTTATGTTATTATATCTCACTTGTTAATGTTATGCAATCAATAGTGTAATTTACGATCATCACGGCACGACAAACTACTGGTTTACATGATGGTTGCACTAGTGTGTTAAAGGAAGCCGAGTGCAAAAGTGCTTGTAGCTGATAATGCTTGTCGCGAAAAATATTGATGCTGCGTTTTAGGATTGACGTTTGCAATAGCCATAAGCCGCAAGCGAACATTTACGTTAGGGCGTTTCCTTGTGTTACGTTCTTTTGTTCGGACATCTTGAAATGGACCTTGAAGCCATAAGCTGCATGTCCTGGCTCGCTCATTTTAACCGTATGCATGCTGAAAGTGAGTGTTGTGCCTGGTCGAGTTCAACATAATTTATCCATCAATGTGCCATTCTGGTACAAAGGCGCCGGCAGGGTGACAACTACGCTACCTGCATACATGCGCCCAAGTAAGGGGCGAACGGGGGCGTTCTCAATATGACGTCTCGGCTGTTGAACTATTATATTTGCCATCCGTTCGATTCTGGTGCGTGTAACAGTTGTCCGGCGGAGAAGGGCTACGTTTAGATGAGATTTGAATTGCAATTATTTATTTGGTTGATTATAGCCGGAAGCCCCATAATACTGTCTCGTGTTGTCAAGAGGAAAGTATCTGTATCTACCCGTTGTCTGTAAAGATGCATTTAGAAATGTTACGGGGAATATATATTTATGGTTCAATTGCAAACTGTTTTGCCTGTTGCAGGGTTTGTTTATGACCTCGCTAGTGATGCACAAACGGGAGCGTGTTTTGCTTGCTCGAACGAATCTAGGCGTAATTGAATGGCGTACGTCATTGAATAACTATCGCTGCCCGCTGGATACTGAAGATGTCCACTATCTGCTCACGGGTGACCTCATCACAGACACCCATCTCACATGCTCGTTAATGCTTTGCACTTAACGCTCAAACTTCTGCAAAGCCCACAGCAGGCAGAGCCTCTCAATCTTGGTTTCTATTGTTGTTTGTAATAGGTATTGTCTGCCTGTCAGTGCCCAGTGTCCGACACGCCGCCCGTCAGCTGGGTGGCAGCCTGTCGCACCCCCTCCGTCCCACAGACTCGTGTCGCAGCCGCAGTCGATGCTGTTCGCCGCCCGCCGCCTCTGTCCGCCGCTGCTCCTCGCCGGGGCCTCCAAGATGGCCGCGCCCAGACCCAGCTCCAACATGGCCGCCTTCAGGGAGACACTGGCCTCGGCCAAACATGTGGTGGTGCTCACAGGTGCGTACTGCGTACGCCTCTAATCTCTGCCCAAAAGATGCTGTATGTAGGCATAGGCGGCGGAACGGGGAGGGCACCGGGGCACCGTGCCCCCCTTTGATTTTGGCATTTTAACATTAGCCCAATGGGCGTTGCATGAAGAATGGGACCAAAAGTCGGCAGTGCCCCCCACCCCCCCTTAGGGCCCTCATAGGTGTTTTAGTCGGCAGTGCCCCCATAGGCCCAGAAGGTGTTTCGCCGCTGCTGGCTGTAGGTTTTACCAGAGTACCTATAGTAACTACCTTTGTGATCGTTATACATCTTGTGATACAGCACTGTTTTCATCTTGCCATTTATCACCTCAGATACCTCTGTCTACTCGATTCCCCCTAAGTGACCTCTGGTGACCTCCAGGTGACCTCTGGTGACCTCCCGCTGACCGCGTCTTCAGGCGCGGGCGTGTCGGCAGAGTCCGGCGTGCCCACGTTCCGCGGCGCTGGTGGCTGGTGGCGGCGGTACCAGGCGCAGAACCTGGCCACGCCGGGCGCGTTCCGCGAGCAGCCCTCGCTCGTCTGGGAATTCTACCACTACCGGCGCCACAACATGGCCTCCAAGCAGCCCAACAAGGTAGGCACAGCGGCTCAGGATTCTGAACTGGTTCCGGAGCTCCATATTATCGCACCTTGCTTTGTAACATGCATTCAAAACATCAAAATGCGTTAGTAGCAGAATGACTTCCCCAATGACTTCCCCAAGAATGGCCGTGTTGATCTTTTCCGACATTCTGCGACCTTTGAGCTCACAGAAAGTCGCGAAGTATGCGATACAAACCCAATTACATTCCTCGCTAACTTCCAATGAAGGGTGTGTGGCAAGATAGGTGGGCGGACGGAACTTTACCACACTTCCCGGCACGGGTCGGGGTCGTCCCTGTTACGACGGAAACACATCTGATTCACCACGCTACCGCATAACCTTTGGTCCCTGTCACAGCACGTGAGCGTGTGTAGGAGTTTCAGCATGTGTCCGGATATCCGTCTCGGCCGCCCACTCTATCGCCCGCGGCTCATCGATTCGAGTCAATGGAACTATGGCGCCTGCGTTGCCTGGTACTTCCTGCCTCATCAGGAAATCAACTGTTTGCGACATCAGTCGGACTTTGGAGTGTGCCGAAAGTCGAAGTCATTTTGTGTCCACATAAACTCAGGCGATGGTCTACCGTCACGTAATCGAATTTTGTGCCCGCCTCCCGGTGAATAATATCGACAAGATGTTCCATTGACGATAACACGTGTTAAATATGATGATACCACACGTGCACCAGCAGCGACCTCTCCCTTCATTGAGTTCGTTTGACCGTTCCCAGGCGCACGAGGCGATCGCGTCGCTACAGCAGCGTTGGACGGCGGCCGGCCGCCGGTGTCGCGTCATCACACAGAACATTGATGGTCTGCACCAGCGCGCCGGATCTCAGGACGTGCTCGAGCTGCACGGCACGCTGTTCAAAACACGCTGCACGCGCTGCCGGCACGTCGAGGAGAACAGGGATGACCCCATCTGTCCGGCGCTGGCCGGTACTGGGTAAGAGGCTTAGAGAGGGTGAGAGATACAGCGGGTGATCAATGGCTGATCTGACATCGGTTGGGTCTTATTTCTCAGGAAGGAAAAGGTTCTTTGTGGATACCCACCCAAAGGCAATGATTGCGGCACTGCTTTCATTAGGTTCTCACTTCTCAGCTTCCGTTCCTTTCTTCTGCAATTCACGCTGCTTGTGAGAGTAGCGTCTGAATTCTCGCATCAATAAGCGTGAATGTCCGCACTTTGAACACCATCTCAGCTAGTTCACACCTGCGCTTTCGTTGACGCCATTTTGTCCCCGGCAGCGCACCGGACCCGAACACTCCGAGCGCGCACATCCCTGTGAAGGACCTGCCGCGCTGCCGGCAGCCCGGCTGCGGCGGCCTGCTGCGGCCCCACGTCGTCTGGTTCGGGGAGAACCTCGACGCAGAGGTGCTCGATCAGGCCGGTGAGTAGGGACGGGGTGGATGAATGCTCAGGGAAGGCATGGAGATGCCTACATCTGCAATGCTTGCCTCGGTGCGTCCATTATTTGTCGACTTAGAATTTCCATCATTATAGCGCCTACATAAATACATAGCCTCTCACTGACTGACATCCCAGCTCTCATACTCCGTATGTGTCACGTGTCACCCTCATTCAGCATTTCCTCGTGTCATTTTTCGCCTTTCGGCGTAATGTCACACCATTTCGCCGCATCACTCCCGATGTTTAGTGTATTTATTCCACGCCTGTCCTGTCTACAAAACTCAGAAGCCAAGCCCTGGTAGGCATTTTCTAGGCATCGCTGCCTAGAAAAGTCACGATTCCAACTCAACATTCCTTTACTACTCCAAATGCCCAGTCCAAGGCTATAGAACTCCAGGTAAGGACACCAGCCGTTTGACCTTGAACGCCGCCGGCCGGCCGATGACGTCATTGGAGGCAAGCCGGCTCGGCGGACACACAAGGCGAATGCATAACGGAGGGGCGTTGGAACGTTGTGGGAGCCGGGGAGATATTTTAATGTGGTTGTATACCACCATTGTTATGTTTATTGATCTACAGACTGCATTCTTTTAAACCTCGATGCACTCTAGGCCTGGATGGTTCGTACATTCGTGGAACGATCACCCCGTCCGAAGTCCGTGGTCGAAGCTGTCATAGTATTAAAGACACTAAGACGGGTGCAATAACGGCGATCCGATCCCGTCTCTGGCGAATCTAGAGGGGTCGTAAGGACCCAGGCCGAATCTGACCGTCTATTTTTAGGGAAACGGGGTGGGTGAATTGACAACCGATGGCTTAAAGGTAGACTGCCACCTTTTTTCCACAAAACGGTTTTCACTAGAGCTGAGCCACCTATGTCCCAGACTGAAGTCGGTTTTCCGAAATTCGAACCCGTTTGCGAGAAATCGGAGACCAAAGTTCAGTTTGATGCCATTTTTTTAGTCCAAGAAAACCGACATCTCTACTGTTTATCGATAACTTTGAAACATGATTTTTCTTATCTTTTGGTAAATATATGTCAAAACTTTGATTGTTTCGAGATCAGAGAAGAATTTTGGAGTGTCAAAATAAAAGTTAAACTTATATATTCAGTAGTTCATTTTTTCCAAAAAAGTGTGGGAAATGGGGTTTAACATGGGCCAGACCCATTCCAAATGAGCCATGATTTTTTTAATGTTTTACGAACTTAAATGCAAAATAAATTAAACATGGCCAATTTCTCATGAAATCATATATTAGTAAATCATAAAATACCTTACTTTTTCAAATAAAATGTAATAATCTTATGACCTTGAAATCTAGTGATGTGTAAACATTGTCGCTAGACATTAACCGATTGATAATTGTATGAAAATCGACAATTTTTTTCGCGATTCACGTGATGATACTTTGTCAGGTGAATTCTAAAATTTTGTTTTGTCCAGGGAATAAATCATAGGCCGATCTGAGAAAACTTTTTGAAGGTGGCAGTCTTCCTTTAATCCCATTGCTTGTGTCGTTTCTGCAGAAGCTGAGCCCTGGTGTATTAATCCCAATGCTTGTGTCTTTTTTGCAGAAGCTGAGCCCTGGTGTATTAATCCCATTGCTTGTGTCTCCCCTGCAGAAGCCGAGCTGGAGGCGTGTGATCTGTGTCTGGTGGTGGGCACCTCGTCCGTCGTCTACCCAGCGGCCATGTTCGCTCCCAGCGTGGCAGAGCGAGGCGTGCCTGTGGCAGAGTTCAACCTGGAGCCCACGCCGAAAACCGCGGAGTTCGGGTGAGTTTGTGTGTGAGCTCGAGGTACGAGTCACGGAGATGATTATTTGGAAGGATCAGCGACGGTGCGAGTTGGGAAGTGTAACGGTCGCCCTGATTTACGAAATTTGGAAGCGTCTTCCCAGATTTGAGCGCCTGCTACAAGCTGGGACATGCAAAGTCTGTAGTAACTTGGTCTCACACACAGCCGCTGAAAAGGTCAATATTTTATGTATGGCTGAGAAAATTCCCGACAGGTCGAGCCGTTCGGTCGTCGTGAATTGTCGCGGTGCGAGAATCTAGTAGTGCCATCTGGCGCGACAAAACTCCTCAGACTAGACCGTATAGAGTCGTGTGGTGCTGCACTACAACGGAGTGCTTCAATAGGATCTTGACGATGCACTGTTTATGCAGAGATGCTCCACTTTGTGGCGACCCCGTAACTGACGGTTTGCATCATTCAATGTTTTTGACGACGTGTTTCTACCGTTTGCAGGTTCCATTTTACGGGTCCCTGTGGCGAGATCTTGCCGGAGGCACTGGCGCCATGAGGAGACGTCGGGCTCTTATATCCTTTGAGCCTCTCTTGGGCTGGCGACATACAGCTAATGTGATAAAGCTTTGTTAGAGCTGTGTGCTTGTGTGGATCTAATTAATAGCTAGTATGATACAGCTGTACTCCATAGGTGAGCAAGATTTTGTAGAACAAGATTTTATTTTGAACTTGTATCGACTGAAACAGCGTATTTTGAAGTGTAATCGTGCAGCATTTGACGATAGCATTGCTGTGTATTTTATGTCTTTATGTTCGGCGATTGGAGCTTTATAGCGGGTATTACGGTGATGGCAGCGTGATAAATATATTGCCAGGAAGTCGGGTGCATTGTCAAACTCAATTCTAGGAACGAGATGTGTAGTAATCCTCGAAGCTTAGCCGCTATTGGTGTCTCTTTCCTATCATCCATTACATAGCGGCCTTGGTTGTTGGTCCCACCAGTCGCAGCTTCACGTAGAGCACAAACCATAAAGGATCTACAAGAACAAAATTGTGTTCATCAGCTTGAGAATCTTGCATAAGCAAATCCAAGGCTCTATGTATACCAAATCCAGTAAACCATCAGCGATGGGAACGTTTGACCGTAATTCGGTTTCACGAGGAATCGGATTAAGTTGTATGGCACGAGAATTGCCTTTCCTTTACATCGCTTATGGTTATCAAATGCCAAAAATTGTGTGTTACGTAGAAGCGCTTGGGGAGTAGCTATTGTCTTATTTTGTTCGACAGGTAATTATTCGGCCTGAATGGGAGATTTGGTGGTGTACGTACGAATTAATAATATTCCATCAAGCATCCAAAATCGCCAGAGAATATTCAGTAGCCTTGTATGATCGCATTCTGCGGCCAGTAGTAGCCTCCATCTGCGCCCCATTTGCACACCATGTCGGACAGCGACCCTGCGTCCAACTCGGACACTGCTCTGTCCAGTCTGTCGCCGCTGTCCGCCGACAGCTCGGACTCTGGACGCGCCTCCGCCAGCCCGGGACCCGCCTCGGTCAGCCCGGCAGCCACCGTCAGGTCTCCCGCCGAGGAGACCAGCGGCGCGGCGCCGGGCGGAGCCATAGACCAGCCGGCGGCGGGGACTGGCGATATGGCACCAACAGCAGCTGAGGGTGAAGGTGGAGCAGCTCAGGGTGGTGAGGTGACTGGAGAGGATCCCCAGGCCGCTGCCGAGCTGACTGCAGAGGCAGCTGGTGAACCGACTGCTGACCCAACCTCAGCGCCGACCCCCGGGCCGTCAGAGGCAGCTGACCCCACCGAACACACCACGGTCGGTTCCCACTCGTCCGACTCGCTGACACCGGAGGAGGCGGCCAGCGACGACAGCTGGGACGCGCCGCTGACCGAGGCCGACCTCGACGGCGACACGCTGAGCACCGTCCGGCGCGACAGCGAGGTGCATGAGCTGCTCGAGCCGCTCGACTCGGACATCGTGGACCCGGCCGACGGACTCAAGGTGCTCGACGACCTCTTCACTAGCGGCAAAATCAACGAGGTGCAGTACAAGGACCTGCAGCGCAAACACAAATACCTACAGTCCATGTTCTGGTCGTGCATTCAGAACCGCGCTGGCCTGAGGGAGGACATTCTGGAGACAAACGCGTTCCTCAAGGAGCTGAAGGCAAGGGCGAGAGAGGAGGCTGGCAATGAGCAGCGCGATAACGCCGACGACATCTCTGACATCCAAACTATGGCCGACCTCGAGGGGAAGAACGTCGACGAACTGAAACGGTATCTGGCCTCTTTCACGCAGCAGCGTAAGACGCTGGAGAACTCTATCTACCAGATCCAGTTCAAAACACGTCACATGGAGGAAGAACGACAAAACCTCCAGGAGAGAGTCGACTCCACGAATCTGTCCAGTTCAAAGATCTACCTAAACAGCCCGGCCATGTTGGAAAAGGACATCCGAGAGCTAGGAGTGGAGATACGCGTTCGCAAACAGGAAGTGCGCAACCTCTTGGAGGACATCAACACGCGCGAGCGGACGATCCCACAGCGGGAGACCAAGATCGCCAAGCTGGAGGAGAAGCTGCAGGCGCTGCAGGAGGAGAAGGAGGAGCTGCTGCCCAAGATGGTGCTCGTGAGTCGCGACGCCGATCGCGAGGAGAAACACACGGCCAAACTGCGCAAACAGAGTGACTCACTCAGCCAGACCGTGTCCACCATCATCGGCCAGCTGAAGGAAACAACCGACGCCGCACAAAAGGTGGACAACGAGCGCAACGAGCTCATCAAGGTGATGGACCGCGAGTACAAGCTGCTGGACGCCAAGAGCAAGGAGTGCACGGCGCTGACACGCGACACGGAGCGGTGCCGGGAGCGGGCGGCCCTTCTGATGGAGGAGAAGAACCGCACCGACAGCCGGCTGGCCATGCTCGCTTCAGAGATGCGTCAGCAGAACAACGCGCTCCGCGACGCGCACAAAGCCGTGGAGCGGGTGGAGCGAGACCTGCGCAGCGCGGAGGAGTCGCTACGCGTGCAGCGCTCTCAGATGGGCGTCGAGCGCAGCGAGGTGGAGAAACTGCAGCGCGAGATGCAGCTGCAGACGCGCGCCACCGCCGAGATACCCGCCCAGAGGTACGCCCTGCAGCGCGACGTGGACGCAGCGCACCGCGAGACGAACGTCCTCAACTCGCTGACACTCAACGAGCAGCAGAGCATCGACAAACTGGCCAAGGAGCGAGGCACGCTACTGCGCACTCAGGAGACGCTCACCAAGACACTGGAGGCGCTCGGCCGCGAATATAACAACCTGATCCGCCAGCGTGACACGAACGCGCGCGTCTTCAGAAAGCTGAGCGGCGAGGTGGAACGAAACGAAGACGAGATGCGCAACCGGTTCACGGTGGTGGCCAAGTTCCGCAAAAAGTGCGAGGAGACGGAGAAACAGACCAAACAGCTGGCGGAGCGCTACGAGCTGGCCAAGAAGGAGCGAGATGAGATGTCGGCACAGCTGAATATCTCGTTGACCAACTGCGACGAGTTGATGAAGAAGACTGAGATCCTGCGGTCGCAGCAGGACACGATGCTGAGCAGGAAATTGGAGCTGGAGCGACAACATGACGTGACGCGCCAGACCACCATCAAGACGATCCTGGACAAGACGATGATCCAGAGCACGATGAACCAGGAGAAGGACGCGATGAAGGAGCTGGAGGCGCACGCCGACCAGCTGGACATGATGATCGGCTGCTGTCAGATGTCGCTCAACGCCATCAAGGAGAGCATCATGTCCGACCTGGAGGAGTACAAGCGCCAGGTGGTGGACCGCAACGAGCGAGGTCTGCTGCTCGTCGAGCGCGACGAGGAGGTGTGCGCCTTCCAGGAGAAGATCGCGCTCCAGCAGCTGTTCGTGGAGCGCGGTTACGCGCGGCTCGACACGGCCGAAAAAGACATGGTCGAGCTGAACAAGATCATCCGCACCGAGCGGCACCACATCCAGTGTCTGGGTGCGCAGGAGCGCGAGATGCAGGCGATGAGTGCCCAGCTAGCCGACACGCGCTGTCAGCTGCGCCAGCTCAACTCGCGGACCGTGACGGCCACGGCGCACCTGGAGACGCCGGCGCGCCGGGACTGTCGCCTGCTGCCGGCGCCGGCCGCCGGCGACGGCGACGTGCCGCGCCACCTGCGGCGTATCGAGCTGCAGTTGTACGGCGCCGAGCTGCGCCTGCTCGAGCGCCAGATGATCGCCGCGCAGGTGGGCCGGCTCGCCGACCGCGCCCGCCACGAGATCGACACCAACCGCGCCGACTGCGAGCGGATGGTGAAGCGGGCCAGCGCCGGCCGGCGCGCCGTCAAGGCCAACAGCCGCCGGCTGATGGCCAGCGCCGCCGAGGCCAGCGTCGCCAAGACGGAGGCGCGCCGGCTGTGCGAGGAGCGCGCCCGACTGGAGGCGCAGCTGGAGGAAGCGCGCCGCAGGGTGGCCGCCGGCCTGCCGCCCGAGCAGGCGCTCGGAGGGAGGCAGGCGCCGGGCGTCCGGCCGCCGCCGCCGGCCCAGCAGCTGCCGCCGCCACCGCCGGGACCGACCCCGCGGCCCACCCAGTACCTGCCCGAGGCAGAGAGCAGTCTGCCGCTGCCGCGACCGTACGGAGCCTTCAGCCCGTTCAAGCCACAGGCCAAGGGCAGCAGCTTCATGAGAATGCAGAAGATGGCCGGCCGCGGACAGAAACAGTAGCCGAGCTCGGGCGCGACAAATGCTAGACGGAGTGTGCCCGGCGTTGGCGGGTGCAGGCTCCATGGTGCTCATACGAGTAGAACATACGAGCGGGGTGGGAATATCAACAGAGCACGCGGTACCTAGAAGACAGGAAATGCAAGGGAGACGACCGAATTGTTTGAGGTCATAAGTATAGTCGGCATGACTGGGGTAAAATATCAGCCTCGCCACATCTTCAGCTCCATATTGCGTTTGTGTTCCCTGGTCAGAGCCCAGGATATGACATGTCAATGGGCAGATAAGAGAAAAGCGCGTACAAGCATAAAGATCACACGCAACACACAATCGGACTCTTACTTACGTTACCTAACAACTGAATTCGTCATGGTCTACGCCAGCATGCGGACTCCGTACCTTCCCACGTGACGTCACTGGCAATTGCCAAACGCCCCACCTGTTTGGCAACAGAGGACTTTGCCTCGGGGACTGCACTCGGCGGACTTTGGCAGCCGCTCGGCCGGCCGACTGTTGTCGGAACTCTGTGATCTGTCGGCGGCCGTGACACATGTTTTACCGACAGCCGGGCCCCGTCCCCGGCATGAAACCGGCACCAGCCCCGTGGGAGGATTCCATCTCCGTGACGTAGGCCGCAGCTGGCTCGAGACTCAGGATCCGGGTGGGCGTCTCGCGGGGTGACGAAGTCAAAGGAGTGTGGTTGGCAACAGGAGCCCGGAACGGACGCTAAGTCTTGCGTCAATTCCTCATCATGCCTGTGACAGTTGATAAGTCACAATGCATATTTTTTTATAAATTTGGTCCAAACCTTTTGATTGGAAGGATTCACAAGGACAGAGCCCCCGCTAAGCGAAGCTTGTTACGCTGACCCTGCCCTCCACCCTCCGATCGCGCAATTCCGGTTCTATGGCAGAATTTAGAGTCCAAAGTTTAACGTGCGCACTGCGCACATAGCCGCGCACGGCCGATCCCCTCACTGACTTCGCCTGGCTACGGTCCGCCACCAACCGCAACCATACCTGTCAGGAGGCCCATAAACGCCAAGCGCCCGTCGCGCTTCGAACCCGGACTGTTGTAACCGGGAACGTGTGCTCTCACCACGCGGAGTCCAACGCTCTACCGACTGAGCTACGGGACCGGCAAACAGAAAGGCTACGCCGCCAGTCATATATAGAAACAGAATAGACCATTTCCATAGAAGTTTCGATATGTATGAGCAGCTTGTCTTTTTCCTCTGAAGTTTGTGAGCGCCTCATTGCAGGGCGCCAAGTCTTGCGTCAATTCCGCATCATACCTGCGACAGTTGATAAGTCACAATGGTAGGTATATTTAGAAACAGGATGGGACATTTCCATCGAAGTTTCGATATGTATGAGCAGCTTGTCCTTGTTCCTCTGAAGCTTATGAGCGCCTCAGTTCAGTGAAGTCGCCGTCGCGCTGTGGTGTTTTAGCACCTGCATCCGGCGCTGGGCGGCTGCCGATGGACCGGGCCTGTTATCGGGGTTAGCGCCACGAGGGCGGGGCGTGCTCTTGTCGCCCCAGGGGAGCTGGCGGCGGGTCAGCGGCGCTCGCCAGTCTGCCGCCGGTTCGGCCCCGAGGCGGTGTCATGGTGCCCCCGAGTGGCTCCCCGGTTCGCGCGCCGCTGGCGGTGGCGGCGATCGCAGTGGCAGCGGTCGCCGTCCGCGCCGCGCCCTGCCCCTACGACGCCTCGGCCGACCTCAACTCGCTGCTGGACCGGGTAGGTCGGTATTTTTTGCATCACCCATATTCGCACTTTGTGAGAATGTCAGATTTGGTCGGGTTCCCTGAAACGGAAAAAAACGCTGAAGCTCAGCTGTGCGTGCTTATGCAGTTATGTCTACAGAAACATTACCACGTCGCTCCTTATTTTCCATGATCAATTATAATAAGCAGATATACGATGACCAAGTGTATCAGTGCCAACGACAAAGTGAACACTGAGCACCGCAAGATGACCGATGCCGCCTCGTGCCGTCTTTGCAGTCGCAAATGCTCTGGAGTGAATCTGAAGAACGGGGCGCTGGCTACAGCTATCCCATTCCCACCTACGCTCGATGTGACCGTAAGTTACCACAGGAATACGGCGAAAAAAGCGACATCATCGACGGAGCAGTTATTGAAAAGCGAATACAAACAGTTTGCGCACTAAAATATACATACAAGCGAATACACTAAACTTATAATTATTGTCGTTATGAGACACCATTCTCAATGTAAGCCATTGATCTCGCGCATGCACATTACACAATGCACATGCGCATGCTAACACTGCAGCCCTTTCTTTGCAGCGTTCTACGAGGGAGACATCTTTCTAGATGGGGTGAGTGATAAACAGCACAACTCAGTTGCATCCGTGCTAATATTCGATAGTCATTTGATGCTATAATTTTTAAACGCACAATGCCCTGGGAGGTGATCGTTCAAGAGTGGTCAGAGGGAAACGCGGGGGGGGGGGGCAAAGGGGCGACACTGACTTCAGTACGACAACTGGCAGTCAACACTCACATCCCGTATTCCCCCTTTTTCTCCGTGCAGATGGAGCCGTGGGCGGACCCGGAGCGCGGGCCGGGCCCCATGGAGCCTGAGGTCCAGCTGTGGCCCGGCGGAGTCGTCTACTACACCACGTCTGTGTACGATAGTAACGGTACGAGCAGACTCTGCAGGAATAATGCCAATGTCGAGTGTCCACTGTAACCCAGTGGGTCCGCAGAACTAAATATATTCATAGCAGAGTAGGAATTGACCAAATGCTCTCAAGTCCCCATCGAAGATATCCACCTATGCTTGCTGCGGTAGACAGTATTCCGTTCCTGCTCCGTTCAGAGGCAATGTAACCACCAAATGCACAATGCAAGCGACGCCATACTACCCGGCGACCGGCGTAGAGAGGCCGGCTACTTCTGAAATCACAACAGCAGCTGACCCCTCTCTCCACAGTGCTACTCATTCTCAACATCTCCATCGCCGATATAGAATCGCGCACGGCCACAGCGGCCGGGCCGTGCATCCGGTTCGAGCCCTGGTCTCCAGGGGTCTCCGAGGACTTCCTCTTCATCACCGACCAGCTCACCAACTCGTGCTGCTTCAGCAGCATCGGCAGGCGCGGCGGCAACCAGAGCCTCAACATCGGCATCAAAGGCAACAACGTCGGAAACGCCAAACACCTGCTCATGCACGCTCTAGGTACGGGCGGACTGCGAAGGGACTGCTGAACACTACATTAAATGAGATCGGTATTACCGAAGCCGAATAACAGAGAAATGGTGTAGATTTTCATAATTATGTACGACTGATTACTGACCCCCTTGTTTGTTTGTTTATTGGGGCTTTAGGGCGCGTTACCCAACCCCGACCTCTATGACTTTGTCCAGGTTTTTGGCACGAGCACAGCCGACCAGGGCGAGACGCGGACATCGAGGTCCTGTGGGATAACGTGACGGAGGGCCTGGAATGTTTCTTCGACAAATACCGGTGAGCGGCAATAAAACTTTGTCCATGGTATATGCCAGAATCGAGTCATCAGGATACTGTAGCGGATCCGTGGACTTCATATCAATGTCAGGTCAATTCTTTACCAACTACATAGCCGTTCGTGCTAAAGTTTGCATGCAGGTTCCCGAATGCATGCAAAAGTATCATTGCGATAAAATATATTCCCGAAACTCACTTCTATTTCTCGCTCTCCCAGAAACGAGACGGAGTTTGTGCAGACGGACCCGTACGACCTGACCAGCGTGACGCACATATCGCTCAACACGTGGGCCCGGGAGCGCGGTCAGGACACGCTGCGGCCGCGCTCCCCCACCAACGAAACAGGTCAGTGAGGGAGCTGGGGTAAAGGTACGGGTCAGGGTGGGGCGCGGGGTGGGGACGGCGGGGACAAATTTTGGAACAAAGAGAACGGGTATCAGTTGTGACACGAGCATCAAACGTCTTTGCTTTTACATATGAGTTCACGGATAGCCAAGGAAAAGGGCTTCCGATTTGGCTTTTAGCCGGTCTATTGTCTCGAATCGCTCAGGTATAACCCGACGAAACGTGTATGTTCCCTCACATCTTTCTCTTCAAGCTGAAGGTGCATTACGTCAAACCATTTCAGATATAGGCTTCAAACAGAGGCTATCTACCCAAGACATTCGGAGAATCCGGGCCAAGTACGGCTGTCCCGTCCCGGATGAAACCACCACTTATCAGCCAACAACAGCCGAGCCAGTGACAACAACGGAAAGAACTACCACGGTCCTTCCAACAACAGAACTGTCGACCACGGAACAGTCGACTACGGTCCTTCCAACAACGGAACGAACTACCACGGTCCTTCCAACGACGGAAAGAACTACCACGGTCCTTCCAACAACGGAACAAACTACCACGGTCCTTCCAACAACGGAAGACACTACCACGGTCCTTCCAACAACGGAACGAACTACCACGGTCCTTCCAACAACGGAACGAACCACTACGGTCTTTCCGACGACGGAACGGCCGACTACGGTCTTTTCAACAACGGAACAAACTACTACCTATCTGCCGCCCAGAGTCGTCTGCAAGGACCAGCCAGGTAAGAAAGGTTCATTGCGAATGGGCCTACAGCCGCATTGCACGGGACAGTACTGCACCTTTTTTTCTACAGTTTGAAAAAGTTGGAGTTCAATCTGAAATGATGCACTTCAATTGGCTCACGAACTCAATTTGAAAGATGCAATTCAAATTGAATAACATCTTTTTCAAATTGAACTCTAACTTTTTCAAGTTGAAGGGGAAAAGGTGTAGTAATGTAATAAATCAAGTTGTAGCAGCGATGCACTGAAGAAATGCGGTCAAAGATTATGAAGGTGAAACTCGAGATAGAGGTCCAATTACGACATTGCCAGTTTATCAGAGGTGTAACTACAATCAAACGATAATAGGCTTGCATGATCTCATCATGTACTTTCATATCTATCGCTTTATCGACCGATTTGGACTATTAGCTTTATCATTTCAGCGATTAACTATCAAATCCCGCTAGTGTCGACATTGATTACAATCACCACGAACTTTCAAAGTTCCGGGCTCGGGAAGTACCATTGAAATTATCACACACATTAGTTCATATCAGAATCTCTGAGTTTTCACACTTGACCTCGTGCCCACTGACCCTGTGACCTGTATCGTCAGACGGCCTGATGCTGGCCTATCCGGACGACTGTCACAAGTTCTACAAGTGCAGCGGCGGCCGCGACTACGTGTGCTGCTGCCCACTGCCATTGGTGTTCTCTGCTGAAGAGAGCACGTGCGACCACGAGTGGCACGTGCCGTGCGACACGCCCGACCAGGAGTCTGAGTGTCCCCAACATCATGTACCCGACTCAGCACAGTGCAGGTACAGCTAACGGAAACGCGCTGGCGAACTGCGCCCAAAGATACGATTTCGAAAATCCGGCAGGTCTGTCCGTCATCGACTGCCGTCGCCACACCGACTTCGTCAGCTGACCTGTGGCTGTCAGTCACGTGCTCTATCAGCCAATCACAGGCTGGTCCCGGGGTGGAAGTCTGGCCAATCAGATAATTCGCTGAGCCAGGCAAAGCGCTGATCTCTGGCGGCGCGCTTTCCTTGCGATCTGTACATCTCTGCAGCATCGCATATGCTGGAATAATTGATAGGGATAATTTCGGGGAGCAAAAAAACTTTTTCAAGACAAGCTCTGTATGAGACTTTTTTGCCAAAGTGTAAAAATAAATGTTTCCCTTTATTTCAATGGTAATGCGTTGTCATGGCAGAGAATTGACGTCGAGGACCACAAATACAAAAGTGCGATACAATAATTATATTTCGAGGCAAGCCCAAACAACCGTTGACGCATAATAGCCGTAAGCTTTTTAGAAAGCCTTTCTGACCCAGTGACAAACGCAGAGCCTTTAGCGGATGGCGTATTCGAATCTCGAGCATGTTTCCTCTTCTACTGTCAAGCGACATCTACCGTCAAGCGACCTGTTGATGTTTTCGACTCATTCCTGCGTCTGGAGAGGAAAATCCGTTATCTGACCTAGAAGGTGCATACATTACGAGTCCCTGTTCATGTTTATTGGCTTTTCGGTCTGTGACAGCGTGTCCCATGAACGCTGGAGCCAATGACCGATGCCCGTGGCGTGAAAGACGGGGGAAAACGCTGCACAACAAGACCGTAATGCTCGCATCAACGGGATTTGCTCGGAGTAGGTAGTGTGAAGTTGCCTGTGGGGTCCACGCACACTACTGCGGGCACTGTCGCACAAATGTTGGAACCGTGCGGAGCTGACATAGATAAAATATTCCTGTAAGGGGTGACATTTCAAGCTGTGAAATCGGGTCGCTCTGAGCTGTGCATCCTTTTGTCTGTGTGTGCGCTTGTGTGAGCGGGTGTTTTTCTTAGGAAATAGAACGGCCATTTTTGCTTTGTTTTGGAACCGAAACTGAAAACATCTTTACCTATGTCTAATCGACGATGATTTTCTTTTACACAATAACAACAAATTATGTGGTATATATTATGGATCCTCATAAATCTAACAAAACAAGACACATCACAGTTGGCTTAGACCTCCAAAGGATCCCTGCCAAGCAATGTCCCAAAATTTGTCGATTTGGGTGGGAAATGACATCCAAAGGAAATCCATTTTCCACTCTCACCACCAATTTTTAAGAACAATTTTCCACTCCCAACCAAGAAAACCTAGATTTTTTTACCTCTAGAAAGAGCGGTTGTGTGAATGCCCGGTTTAGCATCAAACATTCTACATCCTAGAATAAAATCCATGTTTTATGGCGTTTCTCACTCTTTTTGGATCTAATCGAATCAGCAGTTTTCCACTCTCTCCCCTCTTTTTGGTGGGTAATTTTCCTCTCTGACACCCCAGACAAAACTCAATTTTGGGACACTGCTGCCAAGCCCTACAGTAGTCTGTAGGCCAAGTGCACTCCAGACAGAAATGCCATCTGTCATAGGGCAGAGTTATTCGTCAGTCCATCGGGCTCCAGCACATGGGAAGGAGACAAAACGAGCCACCCCGCGATTCCCAGACCCGAGCTCCTCTGTTCAGCCCCAGTGGTTCACTTTGCACGTGTTTGCCCCGCAGAACCACAATCCCATAGTCCAACCTCTGATAGGGAGTTGCGAGGGCGACTGGCCACCTAGCGGCCGGATGGTCAAAGACAAGTCTGTCATACGTCGTCCAGATGGCGGTAGACGCGGCGCAGTTTACCTTTCTTGGGCCGTTTGCCTCCCTTTACTCGCCACGGTTTGGCGGTGGAGGTGGTGGAGGCGCTCTCTGATACCGGCTCGTCACTGGAATCACACACAAACGCGGCTGTTAGGATACCAGTCATGGGATTACAGACGCCAAAACTCACCTTACCTAAGACTGAATCTGATTACGGGGCTATCCTCACCTTACCTATCGGGTTATCTTTAATCAAGTCAGCTGCGTCTTCTTCAGAGCATTTTATTCATGCTGGCATGACATTCCGAGCTGCAAACGCTCACTCCACACACCAGCTCGCTTGCAAATCCCATTTAATCCCACGGAAGGCCTCACCTGACGGGGACGGCCGACGCGCGCCCGTCGACCCGCTGCACTCCCAGGTGGTCCCGGCTGTGCGCCTTGCTCTGCACCGCGCTGAAGAAGCTGCTGTCCACAGCGTCGGCAGTCGGCTTATTCGGCTGGAAAGCAAGGAAATCGGGTGAACCAGACCTGCAGCGACTGAATAGAAATCGGACGACAGCGTGCATCCATACAATCACGGCCATTTCAACAACCGATTACAGCAAATCAAGGCCATCACCCAGTCCATGCTACACTAGCTCCTCCCACTGTCTCTCCCACATGCTCACCTTCACCATTTTCTCCTGGGGCGGTCTCTGGCCGGCGGCGCGCTCCCGTGGCGCCTCTAGCGGCCACTTGTTGAAGTGTTCCTGGTCACGGCCCGGCGGCGCTAGGCAGTACAGCAGTTTGCCGCGAACAAAGTCCTTGAGGATGACTCGCGCCGAGCGAGGGTTGTCCGGAAGGCCGCGGGCGGTCATGAAACCCCGCATGTCTGCGAACATCACACGCAGTCGTCACGTACATAAATCTAGCAGTGATGGTTGACTTCATCAGTTATACCAGTTAGAAATTACGGCATCATGATAGCTTTCATAGCCAACCAGCGCCGTATCACAAAAGACCAGCACCGATCAACAGCACTCGCACCTGACTCTAACCCATACCTGGCTCCTAACTTTCTCTCCCTCTTCCTTCCCCTGCCCTCAGCCTCCGTAATCGCTCACATCCGTAGGCGTTGAGCAGCTCCTCAGCCGTGGGCGGCCGGTCGGGCTGTTCCCCCTCGCGCGGCAGCGGCAGCATCAGGCCGTACGTCCTCTCGAGCACCGGGCGCGGCATCAGGTGCGCCACCAGGTTCACGGGCGGCACGTGGTCGCGCATCTGATCGATGGGCAGCACGCCCCACACCACCATCTCGGCTTTGGTGGAGAGGAACGACGGCATCACCAGGCCCGGGCAGTCGCACAGGATCAGCTCCGAGTCAATGTGCAGGGTCTGAAACGAGCAGGAGATTAGGGTCAGTTGTAAGAAAGGCGTCATCCACGAACGATGAGAGGAGCAATGAACATTAAGTTACAATGAACCATTAAACATAAAAATAAGCATCATGGAAGGTCACCTAACCCTATGCTATAAGAATATTTGTTGCATTTTTAAACCGCATAAAGAAGAACGTTTGCATCGCGAACATTCGATCCCCACATTTGACTCCCTGCCGACTTCAACCCGTAATTTCCGCTCACCTGGAAATGTTTGGTCTTTCCGGGCGTGGCCGACACGGACACCTTCTTCGCCTGTAGCAGCGCGTTGATGGTGGAGCTCTTGCCGACGTTCGGGTAGCCGACAAATCCAATAGTGGCCACTCCCTCGGTGCGCCGGCGGCCGGCGTGCACCGTCTTCAGCAGACCGATGAGCTCCTCCCGCGGCAGGAGGCGGGGACTGGTGAACCCGCCCCCTCCCCCGCCGCCCCCGCCGTCATCCGTGCCGTCTCCGGTGGGCTCCGAGGCGTCCTCAGTCACATCAGTCGACTCGGACTGATCGCTGGCGGCCGGCCAGGCCGAGAGAGGCGGCGGGCCGTCCGCGCGGCCCTCACTGACACTGCCCTCCTCCCCACTGTCTGACTCTGCCTCCTCCTTCTCAGAGCTCTCACCCTCTCCCTCAGAATCCTCCTCCTCAGACTCCTCTGTCGGTTCCTCCGGCTCCTCTGCTATGGTGGCCGGCGGCGCGTCCGCCTCGTTCAGCGCTGAGAAGAAGGCCGCCTTGATGCCCGTCTCGTTGAAGTAATCGGCCCACGCTGCGCGCTGTTCGGCCGTCAGCAGGTCTGACTTGTTGATGAGCAGCAGGTTGTCCTTATCCGGGTCCACCTCGCGCACGTAGCGCTCCAGGTCCTCGCAGCGGTACAGCAGCGGGTTCCGCGCGTCCAGGATCTGAACCACCACGTCACTGCCAAAGGCGGAGGGGGAAGCGTCAGAATCAGAGCCCAGAGGTGGTCGCAGTTGCACATGACATACGTCAAAAGCGAATACAAGCGGTCTTCATCGCGTGGTACAATGCGAATGTGAGCAGCGTAGGAATTTTATAACGAAATAAAAGACTGCAATTTGTTGCTAGGCCCATTTGTTCGAATGAATTCCAGTTCTTACAGATACTTACGAATGATAATCTTACGATTATCATTCTCACATAGGTAACTATCCGCCAATTTCAAATACCTATCTCCATTCGTTTACCGTGCGACACCGGCCCGACAATCCACCCTCGCCCCGCCACCCTCACCTTCGCTCAACCACACGCCACAGCTGCCTCCAGAACTCGAGATTCCTCTCGTAGGGGGTGAGGGTGAGGCCGCGCGCCTCCTGAAGCTGCGCCAGCTGCCGGCGCCACTCGAGAAAGGCCAGCTCTTCGGCAGCGTGCAGCTCGGCCGCAGATGTCGTCTCGTCCCAGGCCGGTCTGAAAATGAGGGGAGCTCAGCAGAAGTGGCTAATTCTGTAGGGAATACAGTTATGGCACGGGTCAAGTGTTACTTCATCTCATTGATGACCGATGGTCGTCAAATGTTGCAAATTGGTAGGTAAACATTGTTTCAAGGGTGGTCACTGGCCAAGCATCCGATACCTGATCCTTTCAAACCTACCGTTTGTAAACTTGTCTTTGGCAAGAGCGGTCCTTCCTCATATGTCACCAGGTATGTATGATTTAGCTACTCACCGTCTGGGGATCTGCAAGAGGGCGATGTTTTCCCGCTGCAACTCTTTGATCTTGTGCAGCTCCTCCGCCGAGGGGATGCCAATCTGACCTTTCGGGTTGACGAACGTGATATTCAGTTTCTCTGCCTGAAAACAGACACATTTATTTTAAGACATGCTGTTTGAGATGCTCTTTTATCTCGCCATGCAATTTGGGAGGTGAATCTCTAAAAAATTGCAACATAAAAATTTGATGTTTAGTTAACTACTTAGACAGACTAGACTTCGTCGATATTTAGATGGAATAATAGCAGACGACCATAGCCAAACAAACCCTAGCAGCTGCCTATGTTGATCCAGCATTCCCATGCCAGCTGCAGTAGTTTTGACCAGCTTACCACAAACTCGGTGCCAGCCAGCTGGGCGGTGTTGAGGAACTCATCGATAGAGGTCTCCTCTGTCACAGAGCGCAGGTTTATCTTGTTCCAGTCATATCCATCACCCAGCTCCGTGGTATGACGCTGAAACAAAACTGAGTCACCAACAATAACACCAGACAGAAACATGCTGCCAGCTGCATGACACAATTGAAATAAGACACTCTTGCCACTGCTTCCGACCACAGGTAAATGCTCAACAACAGGTAACCTGGATCTGAGTGACTGCCATGGAACATAGGCAAAATCATATCACAGGTGCCAAAAATGTTTCTCCAACAAGGAGTTTGCCATGAGCTTCTGTAAGATTTTATGCAGAGGACAGGCATGAAACTCATGTTTTGAATGAGCACAAACAGAGGAAAGATTGCAAGAAAGCAACAACTATAAGGAATGGTTTTCTTATCATGCTAGTGCAGTTAACAATACTATATGATTGAGATAGTCTGAGTTTAAATTTATTCATAGAAAATATACAAATACTGCATGGGGTGTGGGCAATAGTAGATTTATTGCCCATGACATCACTGTAGGCTGAGCCCAAGGGTGAGGACCAAAACATGATTTATTGCCCAATGTTTGTTGAGGTCTTTGCCCAAGGGCTACAGTGGCATCACAAAGTACCAAACATTTTTTTCCTACTGTCCCCACTCCATAAAATATTGGTTTCATTACATGCCCAGCTCCAACTTGCTGATAAGTGTCTCTAAGTAAGTATGTCACTGCTCAAAAGAAAATTGAAAAAAGGATTAAAGCATGTGCAGATCTGATTGCTATTGCCCATTAAAAAAGTCAGATCCTAGAATTGAAGGATTCACAAGGACAGAGCCCCGCTAAGTGAAGCTTGTTGCGTTGGCCCTGCCCTCTTTCCTCTGATCGTACTATTCTGGTTCTATGGCAGAATTTGGAGTCCAGGTTTAATGTGTGCACATAGCCGTGCACGGCCGGTCCCCTCACTGACTCCACCTGGCCACGGCCTGCCACCAACAGCAACGCAACCATAACTGTCAGGAGGCCCATAACATAACGTTAAGCGCCCGCCACGCTACGAACCCAGACTGTTATAACCGTGAACGTAAGCTCTCACCAAGCTGGGTCCAATGCTCTACTGACTGAGCTACGGGACCGACGTAGCTGTCCCGTTCCTTTGTTATTGTCATAGTGTCATTAACAAAAACATGCAATCCCTCAGGCAAATAAATGTGAAAATATGTCAAAATTATCACACACCCAGTTAACATACAAGACTTGTAATAATGAGCTTTAGATTGACGATAAAAAAGAGGTTTATACTCACAGAAGACTCATCACCACCAACTCGCCTCTTCCGTTTTCCCTTGAATCGGTCCTTGACCAATGATTTCCCCAGATTTGGCTTCTTAGGAGGCATTGCTGACAAGTACCGAACTCTGATACTAACCAAAGTACTTGAATTTAGGATATATTTGTAGCATGAGCACTCCAAAACAAGCTCCAAAAAGTTATACAGTCGACACAGTCCACGCGTGCTTGCATCCACGTCACGTCGTGTTCAGCAGCTCAAAGAAATGGATGAAAGCAAAAATAAAAGTAAAAGTTCCCATGGCAACTCGTTGGAATTACTAGGAAAAACAAAGCGAATTTGGACAAATCAAGGCTGAAATCGTTCAAAAGATGATTGTTTGTTACACAAGATACACAAAATCATATGGTTTGAATTATTTATTTTTTCAATTGAATTTCATGCCAGACACATCATGCGAACGCGACTGCAGGACACGCATTTTTGAACATTTCTCCCCTGGCCTACAAATGTCTTATTAGCGTCAGAATTGCAAACGTAGTTCATGTTTCGCTGCTCGATCAGCGCCACTATTTTCAAATTGCTATAAAACTTTGAGACAGATTATCATCTCTCCTGCAAGTGTATGCTAGTACTATCCTTATCTCTATTTGCCGCGCAAGCCGGGTGGGGGTCTACTCCTTTTGCAGTTATAATAATATTATAATCCTTATTATTATATTATAATTATAATCAGTTATTATAATCCTTTTGCAGTTGCAGCTCCTTTTGCATTGCAACTTGACGCTGACTTCCGAGCTCAGTAATCGTTTCATCCTCGCGCTCGCCACCACCCATGATTTTCCTTTCCTAATCCCGCCGTCCTCTCTAAGATTCAGCATCACGTAGCACAGCTCGCTTAGACAGAAACAGAACAGTATAAATAAAAATGTATTGCAAAGCCTATGCACTCGCACACATACTCTGTCGTTGCCGGCACGCGGCGAGTTGCAGTGGCACCCGTCTCTAGTGGTACCGAATAAATACTCGTGGGGCGGGGGCGTGCGGCGGCCGGCAGTCCATTACCGGCCGGCCGCTAAAGCTGCGAGCGGTCCTCGCCGCGGAGATCAGCTCCTGAACCCCTCGGTCTCTTTCTCGGTGTGTTTCTGTCGGCAGTATCGGCCCTGTGGTGGCCCATCGCGGCCTCCGTCTGCGCCGGCCCGGTCCGACCTAAGCACGGTCGCCGTTATGGCCCGTCCGTCTGTCCGTCTGTCTGTGGATCGGTTCCTAGGCGGCCGTCGGGTCACATGGCCAGTGTGTCCTTGAGCAGCTTCTTGACGGCGGTGCCCACCGAGGGGTTGGTGACGCCGCTCGTCTGGTAGTCAACCTGCGGACAGAATACGGCACGGTGAGATCAGGAAACGGAGCTTTGCGGCATATAAGACATTATTAGGGTTAAAAATGTGAGCGTGATATGTACCTATTTATAGTCATCGTGATATTACGCTGCTAGCCGGGTGGGATAGGCCACAATACGGAGGGCCCGGTACACTAAACCGCTCCAAGCCGGTAAAACGAAAGAAAACAAATGCATATTTTTATGCTGAACATTGATGCCGGTTGTCGCAGCCACATTGCCGTAATAAAAACAAAACAGTATACCACAACAGCTCGGCACGGTAGCCATCCTATAAATAAACCCATGCTGAATCCTTCAACGCTATGATGAAATTGCGCCTCGCTGGTTGCAAAGGTCGGGCTCAGGTCCAAACCAAGCATTGGTAATGCGAGGTGCCGACGTGACATAACATCGTAGAAGGCAAAGTCGCATATATCGACCGATGTTGCAGCGAATACCAAACAATTGTTCAGTATTGTAAGACGTGTTTATAAAGTCTGATGGCCAAGAGTTGCGAACGAAAATTATAATTAAAATCTAAATCTTTTTGTATTTCAGACGTTTCGACAACACTGTGCCATCGTCAGTAATTGATATAAAATATTTCCTAAAGTCACAAATCACATTTTAAAAATAACATCAGCATTAAGAAATTACACATGGTAATGACCAGACAAGAGTAATTTCTATTTTTAAAATGTGATTTGTGACTTTAGGAAATATTTTATATCAATTACTGACGATGGCACAGTGTTGTCGAAACGTCTGAAATACAAAAAGATTTAGATTTTAATTATAATTTTCGTTCGCAACTCTTGGCCATCAGACTTTATAATACCAAACAAGCAGGATATATACAAATGCTAGACAGGTGGCAAGATCAATTTTTGACGAAAACAAGCTCGTAATTTCCATGCAGGTGCAGCACACAGAGGAATACGCCGGCATCTCGGAACACCCGCGTTTGAGCTTGAGTAATCACGGCAAATTAATGCCAATCATTGAGTTAAAAAAAAAAACTCATAAGAGTATAATCTCATATTGTTGGTACTCCCGCAATACTCATGTTCCTTCCAAAGATCAAAATGACGACCTCGCAGCCCCGGAGAGCCGCCGGCACAGACCTTGAAGAGGTAGGGCTGTACGTCCGGGAAGGAGGTGTCGAAGACGAGGTCGAGCTCGGCCTGTGGCGGCGTGTGCGGCAGGTACTGCTGCCGGTTCATGGCCTGCACCACGTGACGCAGCTTCTCCGTCAGTACGTCCACCACCTTCTCCCGGAACACCTTCCGCTCTGCGGGGAGGGAGAGGGGGATGAGGGTCAGATGCTATTGTCGGAGCCACATGAGCACTTCACACCCAGCATAAGTCGGACAGCGTCATTGCACACTCCCCGCTCCATGCGTACATGTAACTCAGCCAATTACCGAAAACTCACAGAGATGGGGATACATTCATAAATCTTTGGTGTACTGCAAATGGCAAGGCTTTACAATGGAGAAAGGGGATAGGTAAATGGACATAAACGATTTACCGCTGTTAGAAGTACACCAACAAACCTGACACAACAGTGAAACGATTCACTTTACGATGCCGTGCATTACACGCATTTTTACTTCACGTCACACAGCATGAGCGAACATCGGCTAAATTCTGCAATCAGCGTCGTATATCGACAGAGCATCTTCCGAACATCAATGCAAACAAACTTAGCGTTTCGTAACCTCTGCTAAACCATTACCAACGTGGTTGTTAAACGCGCCTCGCAGATATAAGCTCGCGAGATAGCGTAAATAAATACACGGAGAATTTGCCGCTGCAGCAGGATGAGATATTGAGACGAAAACACGCCAAGCTTACTTCGAACCCTGGTTGAACTTCAACTTTGCACTTCAAACAATTCGTTCAAACTTGCTTTTTGCTTAGTCAGCATGCTGTCGCAGATAAGGACCCACAGTGGCAAGTGACGAAACGTCCTATTTGTCTCCTCTATCTCCCGCTGTTTTTCTCGATAAGAACAAACGAAACAGCAAACGCCTCACTCCTGACAACACGGGACATAACACGGGAAAGTCAGCTTTCAGATTTATCGACGCACTGAAAGAAAAGTCGATGTTCTACCAAGCTACAGATTGTTCAACGCAATGAAGGAAGGTCGATGTTTTACTATAAGCCTGAATGACGCTAAGAGTGCATGATGGTAAATGGTAATGTGTCACATAGAACAGCTGCAGCTTGCTCCCGAGTCGTTTGTTGGAGCCTATCGGTAATATATTGGTAAAATAAAGGTATTCCAGCCTTTGTTATAAGCAACCCACTATCCACAGACACGAGCAGTCCAATTACGACACTTGCTAAAATACTCGCTCCGACACCGGAACTGACCTCTTTCGTTCTCCAGATCGACCGTCTCCATGCGCAGCGTCCACGACACCGGGACTGACCTCTTTCGTTCTCCAGATCGACCGTTTCCATGCGCAGCGTCCACACCTCCCAGGGCATGCACTCTGTGGCGAACGGCCACTTGGCCTTCTTCTTCTGGTAGAACTCGAGCGAGATCTGGCCCTGGTGGGGCCGCTCGGCGGCCGCCATCATGCTGCTGAACTGGGACACCTCCTGCTCCAGCACGCGCTGCATGCTCGGTGAGGAGCAGCGCACCTGCGGCCCGGCGACGAGCGTTACGATGGGGTGAACGGGTGAGAACCCTGGTCTGTTACAGCTTATCCAGGCAGCTAGGGATTCGTTTGTTTGTTTGTTGGGGGTTAGGGGCGCGCCGACTACGAGGTCATTTTGCGCCCATGCAGCTAGGGATTCAACTGATGATGATGCAAGCTTAATCCCAACAGAAGAGAATAAAGGAGACTGAAATTGTATTTCAGTCTCCTTTATTTTAACAAACAATTTTACTTTTGTTGATAATTTTAGCTTGTCCTTACAAGCAAATAAATTAAACCCTAATAGCAGGTAGATGATTCATATTTCAGACAACTATTTTGGCTGTCAACGAAAGTTCATTCATGAAAATGTAGGTAGGTAGGTACTAGCCGGAAGGTACCTAGGTATCTATATTGTGTATGACTCACATGGGTGACCTCCAGAACAGGCAGGTCAACATCCTGGAAGCCGACTGAGCCGAGCGAGTACAGGTTGTGCTTGTGGCAGCTGAACTTGCCCAGCGTCCGGTGGAACAGCACTGTGCTGAACACGCTGCCCACGATGTCACTCACCATGCATGCCTCGCACGACTGTAAGGCAATGACCGGCTGTCAGCTGAAGCAGAATCTTACAGGGCACACAGCATGGAATGGAAAAAGGAAAAAGATAAATGTTTCAAAAATGGAGCATTGCTCCACATTCTAGTAATATTTATCAATATAAACAATGTGATATTAGAATCCGTTGGTGATAAGTCAGGAAATACTTATGGCTATTTTGAGTAATATAAAGGGGGAAGGAAAGTGAATGGGCCATAGCAGCCACAGGAAGAAATAGCTTAAGAAAGTTTAGGAGAATTGTTCTCCTGCATTCTCCTGCATTCTCCTGCATCATTCTGAGACATTACCATTAGGTACACTATGGTTTCAGACACAAATATGCAAACTTACAAATTCAAAGACTTGTGTGCGGGCATTCATTTTGTTAGGGTATAACCAGCACCCATTCAGGTTACCTGAAACAAAAAAGGGCTCTGTTAAAGAAAAAAGCAGATACTGCCATTTTTCATGCTAAGTCTTTGTTGTGCCACCCAAGTTCCATGCTGAGGCTGTAACGTGGCACTGTGCAAACATTATTCTTGGGACCAGCAGGCAGGTCCAACACTACATCAGTGAACACAGACAGCACACAGTAAGGCATTGCACAATGCATGACGCAAAAGCCCTCAGCAAATTCGCCTTTGCCTTGCGCTTATGCATCAAGCATGCACTGAGTGCAAAGCACACATTGTCCTGGTCAGTACATATGACAAAACATAAAACAACGAAACAAGACAGAAACATTGGAATGATGAATGATTGCATCACAAATCAAAATGAAAATTGAAATAACTTGAAAACAGCGTCAGCGATTGACGTACTACCTACAGTATTGGTATGCTTTGCCACTGTACCTACTGTTCTTATTACCTACAGCCTTGCCTACAGCATTGTTTTGCTACTTTGACTTACTGCAAAACCATCAAGCATGGATACCAAAAATGTATCCGCTGAAATGAATGCTCCAACAGTATCCCTAACACCACTGATTCTCTTTTTCAATTTTTATTTGTTTGTGGCCAAGAGGCCAGCAATCCGTACGGTAAATAAAAATTATCCTGCCTCCAAGGTCAAATACGAATTGAAATACTTCTGTTCAAAAACAAAGCCATTACTATTAGAAGCTGCAATAGAGGCTGCTCTTGAAGGTTGACAGATGTCGAAAATATGACGTCAGCAGGAATAGCAAACTGTATATGAACAGAGAGTAATGCACTTTTATTTTTACCAGCTAATTTCCACAGTCATCTCAATTACGTGGCGGCGAAAGGAAGTGGACGGGAGAGGTCCTCTTGAATTTCAAAGCAAATAAGTTAAATTATATATTTAAATGGCATTCTCGGTCTTAGTGACTGGAGCCAATCGCGGTATTGGCTTGGAGCTAACGAGACGCCTGGTATCTCAATCTGGAACTGATCAAGCCAAGCATGTATTTGCCACTTGCAGAAATACCGGTGATTGTAAGGTGAGACTTTTTATAAATTGTTTTCATATTTTTCATTAATAGGGACTTCCCAGATGCTTTATTTAGGAGGGATTATGCCTCACTGATTCTGTATCAGTTGGGCAAACTAGACCTTTGGAATCAAAATATGGAGGCATCAAAAGATTGATTCCTTATGACCATATTTGGGCATAAATGCAGACCATTTCTAACTTACCAATCACATAAAAATAAGAGAGTGTTTCAAGAAGGAGCATGCCTGATCTTGAACAGAAATGCTGGAACTATCTCCTAAGCAAAATAATATTGCTCCTATCATAACAATTTGAATTCTATAGGTAGTGAAAGGCAATCAAGGAATTGATTCACTTTAAACAGATAATCATAATATTGATTCCCCATCAGCTGGCTAATCATTATTTTGATTCACAGGTAATGTTAAGAGATAGGCAACAATGACTTCCAGGAATACATCATTTATCTTGCTACTGTTCTCATTTAGTGGTATCCTCAGCACCACAACAGATACCTATAGCATTGTTGTAGTTAACTTTCACTACATTTGATAACAATTCACAATTTTTAAATGTCAAGAATACAAAAACTGAAGCAACAGGTAAAAACCATATAATAAATATAAAAGCACTATAACAATGATAAAAAGGGGTTTGAAAATTTTATTTTGCCATTTTACACAAATACTAATTGTTTAGTATGTGATTCATGATACAAAAATAACATACAGTGTGATTTCCTCAAAACAGCTTTTACGTGATGGACGGTGGCTCTGTCTTTTTCCCATTCACAAGGCCAAAGGGACAATTTCTTAGTTTTGAGGTAACACTTTTTGGAAAGCTACCACATTTTTCTACCTTTTTAAAGAAAAATCTCACCGTCATGGGCCTTTTATCAACCGTAACGATACATTTGAAGTCAAAAGTGTACCAAAATGAATCAAAAAATTGATTCCATGCCCATATTTGGTCATGGCTCCTCCCACCAGAATCAAATTATTGATGCCTCCATATTTTGATTCCAAAAGTCTTGTTTGCCCAACTGGTATGAGTCAGAAAATCAACTATCCAGTAGAACTTGTAGTAGAAATATCACCAAAAATCGGGCAATGTTATGACTTCATCCATGGTTACAGTTTGGATATTGTGTTGAACTCAGTCCAGTTTGAAGTTAAATGAATTTGATGAAAACAGGTGAACAGTGGGGACTATCTAACTAAATTTGATTTAATCTACCTATGTTTTGTTGTCTGTTGATGGTGCATTTCTTTCTTTTTCTTTACAGGATCTTGATGACATCAAGGAAAAACATGACAACCTCCATATCTTAGAGCTTGGTCAGTATGATGGTAGATCAGATTGGTAAATAGGGCTATTTGATTTGTTTGGACATTTGCATTCAATGTTCAACCCAGGGCAGGCCAGATCCAAGTTGGTCAATGTCAGTGCTTTGGTTTCCACACATGTATTTGTAGTTCATTTGAATCTGGAGCTCATTCTGAGGTAAATGATACCTTTCCTTGATTCATTTCTACTCCATACCACTGTCTACTCCATACTCTACTCACATCAAAAACACTTCAGAAATGATGTCATTTCTACTCCCTTATGCAGTTTGGTAGGTAGTTCTTGATGAAAAAATTGATTTAATGTTCTCAAATGAACCCTGTGATATTGTCACTTTTTATGCAACATTTGCCAAGCATCCATATAGCCTCATGCTCATCCTGTAGAGACTCAAAATTTGTATGACCTCAGTTTGAAGAAAAAAAACTGAAGTAGGTACCTACATGCATATTGTAAGGGCTATTGAGTTTGCTTGTACCATTAAATTTATTTTTTCTGCTATATCTGGTAAGTAGTTAGTACCATGAGATGAGAACAATCCAAAGGTGCAACATATTGAACTGTGGAGAAGCTCACACATGGCATCATGGGTCAGGGACCTGCCAGCAGTAGGTGCCTGAAAATTGGTGCTAAAAGGTCAATTTGGCATTTAAGATCAAGCATGCTAAATACCAACTATTTATGATGCAATGTAAGCTAGGTAGGTATCACAGAAAAAAAATGGGGTACCACCAACTCTGCTTCATGAATGGTAGGGTCCAAATGAAGTGTCATAATATCTCAAGACAATAACTATTATTATTATTGTTGTTGTTGTTTATTCAGCATTGTCATGCGACAAAAAGATACATACACCCCGTCCCCCGCCCCCTTACTCACACAAACACACTAAATCAGCACTTAGGAGGTCAGTAGCCTTAACAGGCGCCGCGAGGCCTGACAGTTGTTTCCTATGACCATCTTCAGACTGTCTACAAGACCGCTTTCCTGGAGTGGTGCCCATACTAAGTCACGATTGATGTACCCAGCAGCGATATGCATGACAGCGCATAAGTCCCCACCACACAAATTATTCACGTGGCCGATAAATGACCCGTCCAGCTGCTCGGGGTACGTAGCAAGTCTGGTTAGCCCAGTCACGTAGGCTTGCCGGAGACGGTGGTGGGCGGAAGACATTGCGAAATGCTCTCCGCGCATTTCGCAATGCGCGGAGAGCATCACCTCGCACTTCGCAGCACATGACCGATGATACGTGGCACCCCAGCAGCAATCAAAAGAGCCGTATGATGCGTAGAACGCGACAGACCGAGCGCTGCTTTGATCAGCGAAGCCTGTCGCGAGTCCAGCCGCTCAGTGTCAGCGGAGCTCAGGGGAGCCGTCCCACAGCCGAAGATCAGTGCCGGCAGCACTACTGTCTTCCAGAGGAAGATTTTGTCAGCAGCAGTCAGGCGGTTGGTGAAATTGCCCAGGGGTGTGAGGCCATAAAATAATGCGCAGGCACGTCAGATGCGCTGAGCCGTATGGCTATCTGTTCTGAGACGGTCATCAAGCACCACACCGAGGTGCTCGGTCGTCTGCCGGATCTGTAGCTGCTGCCCTGACAGTAACCAGTGCATTTCTATTTGTGATCCTTATGACTAGTCGCAACTTGTTCACTCTGTGTCAATATGTCAATGACTAATTCATGATGTTTACTTTATTCTGGAAAAAGCGTTTTTTCAGCTTCTCGCGACACCGATATTCATGCCTTTATGGAAGGTGAAAACATCGAACTTGTCTTATAATGAAGCTTTTATCAATGGATCGTATCAGAATCAGAATCAGAATGTATTTCGTAACAAATCCATTAAATCATGGTTTTTCGTCGTCACACGTCATATTATTAAAAAAACGTATGTACAGGTAGGTAGGCGCTACAGTACCAGTACAGTGCATGCATCTACAATCACATATCGTCACGTCCAAATGACTATTGCACAACGCGCAGATCACGGCGCTCAAACACCGCCGTGCTGGACGCGCAACAGATGGCGTCTCAGCCGGGACCTGAAGCCCCGAGCGTTCACGTCAAATGGCAGCCGGTTGTACTCCTGCACGCCACTGTAGCACAGACGGCGGCGACCCAGCTCCGTCCGTATTCTCGTTAGGGCGCGCTGCGAGGAGCCTCGTGTCTGGTATTGGTGCTCAGCGACTCCACCGATGCAACCAGCTACGCTCTCAGGTCTCCCCGTGGTTATCGCAGTGTGAACCAGGCACAGCCGGTGGTACATGACAAGGCTTGGCGCGTCTAGCCAGTTAAGTTGTCGAAACACATCAGATATGTGGTCATGTTTCCGCCTGCCGCTGACGACTCGAGCTCCAAAGTTCAACAGCTTTTGCACTCTATGGAGCTGCGTCGCGTTACACGTGCCGTACACTGAGATGCAATATCTGACAACAGACGTGACAAGGCCTTGCACGATGGTTACAAGAGTACTTTTTGGTATGGTGTGTTTGGCGTGCATTAATCCTACGAGAATGCCCGTACACTTCGCTGTAACATGGTCGACATGTGGCTGGAAATTTAAATGGCAGTCCATGATCACTCCTAAGTTTCGTACCACCCTGGAATCTGGCACGACGGTACCCAAGAAGTTCATCGCGACCGGCGGTAAGCCCCTCAGCATTCCAGGGGTCCCCATTACCAGTGCCTGCGTTTTGGCTGCGTTCAGCTTCATGCCGTGAGAGCAAAACCACGTGTATACACACTCGAGTGCGCGTTCCATGAGAGCGGTTATGCGCGGCAGGTCGCTTTTCTGGCCGCTGACGAGCAGTTGGGTATCGTCCGCAAACTGCACCACTCGGACTCCGTCCGGCACAAACAGACTTAGCTCGTTCGTAAACACCGTGTACAGGATGCAGCTGAGTGAGCCGCCCTGAAAGACGCCGATCGAGTTCGGCTTCGCCGCAGAGCGCACAGGCACACCGCTGCTACCGACGATCTGGACCTGCTGGGTGTGGCCACGTAAATAGTCGGCGAACCACGCCGTGTCCACGCCGTACAGCGCCAGCTTATCCAGCAGAATCTGGTGCGGCACCACATCGAAACACTTCGACAGATCTAACAGTACCAGTATGGATATCTGGCCGGAGTCCATCGCACCTAGAACATGTTCGGTAATTACACTGAGTGCGGTCTCGGTGCTGTGTCCCTTCCTGTAGCCGTGCTGTGTGTTGGAGAGCAGACCATTGGTTTCCAGATGTTGAACGAGCTGGAGCTGGACCACACGCTCGACGACCTTCATCATTCCTGGTAAGATGGAGATCGGACGCGTGTTGGCTGGGTCAGACGGTCCCTTGCCCTTGGGGATCGGAGTCACGAGCGCATGCTTCCAGGCACCGGGTACTTGTGATGTAGTTAGGCTGGCGTTGACGATGTCCAGGAGCACATGTCCGATGCCCCAGAAGAATTTACGAAACATATCAACGCTAATCCCGTCGATTCCGGTGGCGGTAGATGGCTTCATCGCCGACAGAATCAGGCACAGCGTGTCAAAATCGATGGAGTTCGGCTTGAAGCCGGCGGTCGTCACCCGTGGCAGTCGTACCGGTACCGGTGTCGCTGGTCTCGGTACGCTGGCGGCCGTGACGGGACCAACGCTCACGTAATAATCATTAAAGGGACACTCCCACCTTAACATTAGTTTTGAGTTGAGATAGCCAAATTGGTGGCCATGGCCTGCAAATACCGGTTTGGGCACTCACAACATCGACAAATGCTTTAATCCGGAGATATGGAATTTCAAACTTGCAGTTTTCGGATTCTAAGGGGCTAGTGCATTGGTATGCCCCCTTAGAATTTGTGACGTCAGCGGAGATCTAACGATTTTTAAATTTTTTACTAAAACGTTTGGTAGCACGCGGTGGTATATGCTGCTTTGCGCGCAACAAATGCCGCACTTTCAAATAAAGTCGCTAGGAACAGCGGAGATCCCAAAAGTAAACAAAAGTGAAAGTCTAATATCTTGAAAACCGGTGAATATTTTTCGATGAAATTTGGTAGATATTCGTTTTCGCTCTTTCTGAACCGAGCGACATCATTTTCGTGCCAATTCATTAACTTTTTTGAAGGTGGGAGGGTCCCTTTAAGCGCGTCCGGCGTGGCGCTGGGCACTGCCGCCTCCTTCTTGCTGCCAATGACAGGCCGCAGCACGCGCCAGACGCCACCCGGGCCGGCTCTGTCCAACTCTCTCTGCAGGTGAGCGGTCTGGTCTCTCCGTACAGCTGCACGACACTGCCGGTTCAGCTCCTTGTAGTGGTCGCGCTGTCCGCCAAGGCGGAGCGCCCGTCTCCGGGCCGACAGCAGCCGGCGGGTGTCATCTGTCAGCGGCGGCACCCCGGGCGGCCGCAGCCGCACCCTGGTCAGCGGGGCCACCGTGTCCAGCTCCGAGAGGAAAATCGTGCGAAATTCCTCCCACTTCTCCTCAGGTCTCTGCCGCCGGAATACGGGACTCCAGTCGGTGTCAGAGAGTTGTCGGTTAAACTGGTCGGGATCGATGCGTCGCAGGCACCGGCGCTGAATAGTCGGACCGACCCGCCGCCTCGCGCCGCCAAACCGCAGTCTCACACGGGTGATATCATGTGGTGTGCCGTAATGGCACCGGGTCACCCCAGCACGTGTCACGACGTCTGGCTGATTGGTTGCCACAATATCCAGCAGCGAGTTCGCTGGTCGGTAAGTCGGCCGCTCAGTGTTGACGATCCGCAGACCGTAGGTCGTCAGCAGACGGACCAGCCGCTGGCCGGGCGAGTCGGTGGCGGGCTTCAGCAGACAGCAGTTCAGGTCACCCGCCAGTACCACCGTTGCACCGAGGTGACTCGCCAGCATATGCTGCAGCTGTGACTCCAGGTCCTCGAGATCGGCGGTGATCTGGGCTGACGTGTTCTTGGGCACTCGGTAAACACTCGCGAACAATAAACCGCGGCATTTCCCCACGAACACTTTTGCCCAAATCACCTCTACATTGGAGTTCGCGACTCCGGTCACGGGCGTCGGTAACACCTCTACTCTGTGCGCCTCGCGGACCAGCAACGCCACCCCACCGTGTCCCCGAGCCAGTCCACGATCACTCTGGCGATCACTCCTGTACAGCCGATAACCGCCAATCGTGAGTAGCCTGCTGGGCACATTGGGCGAAAGCCATGTTTCACAAACAGCCAGCACATCGAAACCATACACATCACTCAAATCACTGCGCAGGTCCGGTATTTTTGGTTTCAATGATTGAACGTTGAGCTGTCCCACAAGCACCGTGTCCGCGGAGTGCTCGCCGTGCCGGTGCCAGTTCACTCCTCCCCTCCTGCGGCGCGGCCGGGCTCGCTTTCTGCCACCCCGACGGGTCCTCCTCCGCGTCAGGCCGGGGACGACCGCCCCACCGTACGCAGGTAAGCAGGCAGCGCCGGGCCGGCCCGCACTCGCAGGCGGGCCGGGGCGGCCACCGCCACGGGTCAGCCGATCGGCGGGGCAAGGCCGCGCGCGGTCGAGGTCACTGAGCGCGGGAGCGGAGCGCCGGGGCAGAGGACGGAGCCGTCCGGAGCTGCTCTGAGAAGCGGCGGTAGCGGTCGGGCTGACACCGGGGTCAAGGTCACGGCCCGCGGCTACAACGGTCAGCGGTGAGAGACGCCGGCGGGCGGCTGGACGCCACGGGTCGGCTGCGGGAACAGCGGCGGCACACACACACTGAACAGCGTACAGAACTGCTATGCTGTACATTACACTCCAGTTTTAGGCACGCCGGTAACGTTTGACCGGACCTGACGTACTCTACCCCCTACCACCTGACCTGACATCCCCTATTCCTTACCGTGACAGATGTGACCGACGAGGCGAGCTACCCACGCCTGGTGAAACAGGTGGAACAGGTGGTCAAGGGTGACGGCCTGAACCTGCTCATCAACAATGCCGGCTTCGCCAACAACCAGCCGCTGCACGAGCTCACCTCCGAACAGATGAGGCACATGTATGACGTCAACTGCATCGCGCCCATCATGCTCACAAAGGTTAGTGAACGTAACTCAGCTGCAGCTACTGGTCATGGTTTACGGGCGATGTTAAATTAAATCATGCTTGTAGTTAGATACTGCTCCAGTTTTGTCTTTTGGAAGCTTTCTTAGGAAACCGATGATTGTTTTATGCGTATCGGTATGCAATAAGCGCGAGGAAAAAGGGCTTGGCACTGCTTTTGTGGCCTAAAGACAATGACTTTTTGACGCTTTGCGCGCAACAAATGCCGCACTTTCAAATAAAGTCGCTAGGAACAGCGGAGATCCCAAAAAGTAAACAAAAGTAAAAGTCTAATATCTTGAAAACCGGTGAATATTTTTCGATGAAATTTGGTAGATATTCGTTTTTGCTCTTTCTGAACCGAGCGACATCACTTTCATGCCAATTCATTAACTTTTTTGAAGGTGGGAGGGTCCCTTTAAATCCGAAACATCAAGATTTGGGCGGGTTGCCTTTAAGGTTTGAAGAAACTCTATATATGTTTGTTCCGGCAAAAGGGCATCTGAACTAAGTACACCAACATCCGAACATCTGAAATCTGAAGTGTGTTATACATAATCGAACGAACGAAATATATACGACAACGAGACCGAACTTTTTATGGTAAACATGGCCGAGCATCTCAGGGAACTATATATTTCAAATAAATTTCGGGAACTAGCACAAATGAACTAGACCAAATATGACACTAGCTCAAATGAAGCTAGCTCAAGTGGCACTAGACCAAATAAAGCACTAGACCAAATGAACTAGCCCAAACGATACTAGACCAACTGACACTAGTCCAAGTGGAGGGGACTCGCGCGCATCTGACCTCTTCCGACCCCATCAGGCGTTCCTGCCGCTGCTGCGGGCGGGGTCACACGCCAACCCGGACCTGAGCGGGGAGATCATGTGCTGGAAGCGCGCCGCGGTGGTCAACATCAACTCCAGGATGGGGTCGATCGCCGACAACGGCATGGGCAAGTTCTACGCCTACCGCGCCAGCAAGGTAAGCTGTTCAGGGGGAGAGGGTGTGGGCGCCGTCGGGTTTTTCAGACTCGCTTTTTCAATGCATGGCCTCATGTTCAGTGCTATAGTATTGAGAAATGTTTTCGCATTCATGCATTCTTCTGGAAGCTAGTCTCAAATCTCAATCGACGCGATGTGAACAGATTGGACGTAATGGAAACGATCTGGTAAGTAGACAAACTTGATAATGATCTAAACACTGGCGACAATGTACAAGGCTAGTTTCTTAGCTTGCCGCTAGTTTCATCCGCATTCGCCAGCCCGCGTAGTTGTAGCTGCTAGCGGTGTGACTGGTGTTCCGTCCGCCAGGCGGCGCAGAACGCAGTAACGCGCTCACTGGGGATCGACCTGCGACCCGAGCGTATCCTGGTGGTCAGCGTCGACCCGGGCTGGGTGCAGACGCGCATGGGCGGGCCCAACGGCAAGATATCGCCGGAGGAGAGCGCGCGCCGTATCGTCAGCACCCTGTCCAAACTGGGACCCGAGCACACGTCCACCTACATGGACAACTTGGGCGAGCCGCTCCCGTGGTGAAGTGCGCGGCGGGAGAAGAATTCTCCTATTTCATATACCTCCACGGCCCCGACCCCAATGGCCGGTCCTGGTTCACTCTGAGAGGTCTCAGAGGTGCCAGTGAGCAGGGCAAATGTTAAGGTCTGAAGCTCAGGTCAGAAACATTTGTACGAAACCGATTAGTTATGTCATGGATGATATAACACTGGATTGGTGTCTCGTGGAAATTAACATTGGGATCCGCGACATTGGGATCAGGCCTGCCATCTAGCGACAGATTTATCGTAAGTTAGGAGCAAGCCGAGTGAACGCCATCTCTCAGCATTATGACACACGTGGGTGTGGTGTGTTTTTTGGCTTGAAGTGCATATTCCCACGAGTTTGAGGTAATCTTACTGGACCTGAAACGACAAAAAATGTATCAAATGCTTGAAAGCCAAAAACGTCAAGCAGCCTTTAGGTAATAACGAAAATAAAATGCGTAAGACTGTGTGTATTGAAACGACCAGTCCCATCGGCGACGGCTTGTACGACCTTTTATATGGTCATTTACTCACAATGGTACAGCAGTTTGACAATATGTCACTTACATAATTGGTAGGCTTATTCCTTCTTCTCCGAATTTCGCCCGATTTTCTTCATCTTAGTTAATGTTACGGCAGTGCCACGTGCCCACTTAGGGGTGTCGAAATTGTTCCACATAAAGTAACTCCGCAATGGCTGGGCCAATTACAGTGAAACTTCGTCAATAGTTAGGCACCCAGTGGCCAATGCATTTCCATGTGTCACTAAGGGGGTGCTACTGCACGTGCGCACGTGCAGGGTGCCGCTTCCATATCTGAAGAACAGCTGGGCGGATAACACTCAAACTTGGTACACAAATGTCACATCGATGCTCGCACTGCATTGGTCAGTGCTTACATTGGTGCAGAGCTGTTAGGAAAACGATGAAATGAGATGCGTGGTGTTGATGCCTTTCTGTTCCAGCAGCTGATTGATTCGCAGCAGGATATCCTTGTTTATGAAGGCTTCGTCTCCCTTTTCCACCCCTTGTTTAGAATAACATTAACAATGTACGAAGAAAATCACACATCAAAGTTGTTTTAGGCGGCTATCTTGGACCAGGGCTGCGAAGTTGTGGTCAGAGCCAGCGGTTCTGTTCCGACTCGGAGTCGGTTGATTTTTAAAAGCTGTAGTCGGAGTATGAGTCAAACGTCACCGAAAAGTCATCGACTCCACAGACTTACCAGGGCTGCAGAGTCGGAGTCATAGTCGGAGTCTGTGTGAATCGACATTTCTGCCCGGAGGAGTCGGAGTCGATATTTGGATACCGGAATCGGAGTTGAGCCAAAGTCACTGAAATTTCATCGACTACGCAGCACTGGTTGGGTCCTTTTCATAGAGCGTCTTGAATGGCATATTGAACGGCAATGACGTTAGTAATTCCGTTTAAGCTTTTTCATTAGACTTATAGATAGTAATTACGTTCGTTTTGTTCTTTGATCGGACAATTTGTTTGATTTAGGCCAAGCTAAAGACTCGTGTGAAAAATAGCGAAAACGACACGTGCTGGCGAAGTCTCCAATAACTCCCTGTTTCACGATTTAATGAGGAAATAACATGGAACTGCTTATCTTATTACTGACCCTGCACATAAATCTATTAATTTCTTCGCTTTTTCTGACATATAAAGACATAACCTTTTGAAAAATTGCAAAACAAGCCTGCTACTACACCACACTCCCGTGTGTCACAATGCTAATCAGCGGCGTTCACTCGGCTTGCTCCTAACTTACGATAATTCTCCCGCTAGATGGCAGGCCTGAGCTCAATGTCGCCAAAAACTGCGAAGACACCAATCCATTATTTTCTCATCCATGGTTATGTGATGTCCTTTAGTCCGTTGTTTTATGTTACGTGAAGAAAGAATCGAAATACTGTATTTTATCGCTGAGCTTACTGGTCTAGACGTGAAGTATATTCTGATTTTTTTCTAGTATGTTTATGCACAATTTTCAGAGTCTCTATTGCCCTTCCCATATCAACCAAATCGTCTCCATGTTTTCAAACACTTCACTCATGTGTCGTACGTGAACTAAAATAAATATGCTTCGTATTAAAAGTGGCATTGAAAGCATGAATCCTCCTTAGTCCTTGCCCAATATTTTTCATCTCTTATTTCAATTTTAATTAGAATTTGCAGCGACGGTAGGGTAATAATGTGAAGTGAATTATTGGTATCACCAACGTTGGACTCCGGTATACCGCATATGCGGTAGAGTTAGACAACGGCCTCTGACTTCTATATCGATTCGGTGCCTGCCGGTTGGAAGACGAGCTTTTTAGGACTATCCACGCGGTATTGAGGTGCTTCTAGTGGGTGCTAGACTGGAGGAAATTCATTTGGGGGGCCACGCCTGCTATCCACCTGAACTAACAGGTATTAATACTTCAACTGTTATCTTTTTGGTCAGATCGTTTAAGAATTGGAAAGAAGTTTTGTGATATGTATTTTGGTTTAACATAAACGTTGAACGTGAAAAGTTGTAGTTATACCGACGTAGGATGCTACGAACTTGAAGCCAAAGTCATCAGGCGGCACCATAGGCCATCGCATGTTCGAAAAGAATGCCATAAACCTTGTCTTACTGCGATAAAGGGTGAAAGCATGAGACCGATGTTGCAAAGACCGAGTTGATCATAGCACGTATATTACAACAGTCGGGAATGGGAATCCGGAATTGGACAGCGCACACTGGCGGAGGCGATGTATATTAGCAGACTAATACAGACCTGAATGATAATACCTTTCCGGTTCCTTCATTGTACCTCGCATAACGGAGTGTGATGATACGTGAACGCTGAGGAGTTCAAATGGATCGATTCACTGTCGTGCCTGAAGCTGCCGCGAAAACTCCTTAAAACTAGTCAACAACGTAAATCCTACTCGACAACAGAACTGTTTTGGCTTGATAAAAAGCCACTTAACAACATCAGCATTCAGCAACAGCAAACTTAACAAAGTTAACAGTAATTAACACGATTATTCTAACGACCGTAACAATGCAGGGCTCACAACAGGTACAAATTATCCCAATCACTCAGACATCAGTCCTTACACGCGATCAGCCACACGGTATGAGCGCCCGTTTCTTTACTGTGCGCCTCTTCCGCCCGTTCTCACGAGATTGTTCCGCTGCGAGCGATGCCTGCTCTCTGCAAGCTTTTTTCGTTGATCGTCTCGACATGGATGGAGGTGAAACACCTCTGCCCGAACGGCTCGCGTGTCTGGACGGAACGGGACCTGTTAGAGGCGCTACGGTCTGTCTGTCTTTCCTGGCGCGCTGGAGCAGAAGGGTTCGGTGGCTGGTTCTCTCGGCTTTCGTCGGGGGAACTGGGAGTCGTAATGAGGATTGTCAGGTACCAATGTCGACTGCCTATTTTGTGTCGGATGTCGATCTTACTGTGGGGTTCCGTCAGGTGTGAATTGTATTAGAAATTAGAATGTTTTGCACAAGATTCTTACGTTTTGCAAAGGGTCGCGCTGCTGTTTTGCGTAGCGTGTTTCATCGAAGAGGGCTCTCTATCCTGGACAGTGATAGAGACTGATCAGCTAGCTGGATTCCCTATAGTTCCATTTGTAATGAATGTTCGTAGTGATGCGATTTGGCCGTACCTTCAACTGTAAGGAAGAAGCCACACACTAACAGATCGCGCTCTCACAACACATCGCTCAATAACAATAACAATACACTGGTGATCGGGCGACACTCCTCGCCCCGGGCCGTCTCAGCGGCTAATACTCCGCCACTATCAGCGAGAGAGTGTCCAATCCACCTCAGTCCTTCACTTTGAACACCACAGAGCTGCTGAATAGCCTCTCGCTACGTTGAGCCACCTCAGTACTGTTTCCGACGACCGCTCTCAGGCTTCCTGCTGGGGTCGGTTCGATCTCAGAGGCCGAGCCAGTTGATGAACCCGCTCAGAGTCTTGCCCTGAACACGCCGCTGGATCCGTGACGTCATTCCGCCGGTCAGCCAATCAGCGAACGTCCGCGGCGCGTCGCTCCTCCGATTGGTCTCCTGTGAACGCGAACACCGCGCACCGATGTTATTGAACACGGACAGGTTGTTATCGGTGACAGACATGCTAGAGAATGTGCTTTTAGGAAGCTCTGAGCGCTTTCTGCGCAGTGCTAATGGTCCCATACAACACCTGATTCTCGGCGTCAAATAACTTCAACTCCACAACAGCGCTAGAAAGTGGCATTAGAGCTGACAGCGTTTCACCGTTCAGTGACGCCCTGTCAGAAAAGCATCCCGTCCACTCCCCATCTTCACCTTCCCTCCACCCGCGCCGGATTCCAGCCGAACAGTGGGTGACTCGGCACAGAAGCCGTCCCTCCACCCCGGACACTCGATGTAGGAAGGAGGCCGCTCGCCGCGGCACCTACCCTGACAGTGCAGCTCTGGTAGGCCCGCTCCATGTCCACATCGTTGAGTCGCAGCTGAATCATGGCCGCGAAGGCGCGCTCCAGTACGAACGGGTGCGGGTATTGCTCCCGCGTCATCAGCCAGACGGCCTCTGTCGGAGGGAGGGAGGGGGCGAGGACGGGAGGGTCATGTTTCGTAAGAGGGGCTTTGAGAATGGTTTATCCTCCCGAGGGTGGGTGAATGAGGTTGTCTTTACGTTCGTTGTATAATTCATGAGAACCTCACGCCGCCACAAAGTTCCGTTTTGCTACTACGTGTTCCGGTCCGCTGGGTTGTGAACTGGTACGTCACTTCCCGTGGTTTCCACGAAGCTCATCGGTTACACGCCCTGGGGGCGTTATACAATGTCGTCGCTCCCACGACGGCAGGCCGCTCGGCCAGGTGGGTCACTGTGCTATATACAGACGCTTCCCAGTGACACCCGAGCGTGTCCTGACGCCGCCGCGTCTTCTAGTTACTCGCCGCTATTGTCCAGTTCCCAGTGAGCATTAGGACCGGAATTGACGCATATCGGCCTCCGGCCGTCACGGAGCCGGCGTCACGCGTCACGGGCCGTCACGGTGTGTCCGTTTGTGGTCATTGTGACTGACGGCGTCCTGCTTTCCGTACCCAAACAACGCTAGTCGGGCTAGTCGGAGTGGTGATCCGGAAATGTGTGCCGTCGGGCTGAAGGCAGGTCAGGTAATCGGAAAGAGGCGTTACGTAAAAGGATTCATTCATAAAAAAGGATTCATTCATAAAGCACCGGCACGTCCTGAAATGGAGTCCTTTCATTCAACGGTCTCATGGAATGTAATGGAAGACTTGTGATTTTGAGTGAAGGAGCGAAAGTTGAATCACCGAACTGGCGGAGACTGTAACCGCGCATGGAGCAGTAGCACCAAACGCTGGGAGACTGCAGGCGCGCACAGGACGATAACACCGAACTCTGGGAGACTACAGGCTCGCACAAGGCGGTAACACTAAACTGTGGGAGAGTGCAGGCGCGCACAGAGCGATAGCACCAAATGTTAGAGGGGCAGTCGTGCGCACAGTAGGAACACCAAACTGGTGCAGACTGCAGATGCGCATACTGCGGTAATGCCACAATGGGTGATTGTATCGACGCAAGGACGTATTTGAGACTGCAACGACGCATTGAGGGTAACACTAGGGATAAGAGATTACGACGACATTGGGAGCGGTAGCGCTGAGTAGTAAAGTAATCTTGGCGATGAGTGATGGGGAAACTGCAACGACGCAAGGGGCAGCATCACCAGATGCTGGATGACTGCGGTATCTGGCACAGTGCATAGTACCAGCATTGAACATCCTATGCATTGAATTTTTACCAGTTTTGGATTTTTATCGTGGGCAAACGCAACTGCATTGATTCCATTCCACTCTACGGTGGAGTGCTTTCTTGCTATGGTACTGGCGATGTTGACGCCCCTATGACGGCGTTCTTACCTCTCCGGTTGAGCACGTTGCTGCCCGAGCACTGGTACTCGATGGTGAAGTTGGCGTAGTCGGTGGCGATCACCTGGTAGTCCTCGTTGCGGTTATCTGACGACAGAGACGCGGTGTCAGGGCCTATTTTAACATGTTAACTGGGGGGGGGCAAATGCCCCCGCACTCAACAGAATTGCCCCCCTAGTCGTCGAGATTTGCCCACTATAAAAATGGGCATAAAGGAACAGGGTGACAAACATACTACGTAACTACTGTGACTTGTTTTGCAATGGATGTCAAATGAGTCAGTCTGTAAGTAATGACCAGTGGTGTATCTAAGGGTGGGTCATATGGGTCATGACCCCCCACCCTCTTGGGGCCCGGGGACACCACAGGCCTGCCAGGGGCACCACCGGCCTGTCAGGGGCACCACAGGCCTGTTGGGAGCACCATCAACCTAGCAAGAGCACCATAGGTCTGCCAGGGGCACCACAGACCTGCCAGGGGCCCCACCGGCCTCGCAGGGGCACCACCTTGGGCCTGTCAGGGGTACCACCACAGGCCCGCCAGGGGCACCATAGGCCTGCCAGAGGCACCATAGGCCTAGCAAGGGCGCCACGGACCTGTCAGGGGCACCAGAGGCCTAGTATGGACACCACATGCCTGGCAGGGACACCACCGGCCTCGCAGGGACTGGGACACCTTGGGCCTGTTAGTGGCACCACGTGCCTGTCGGGGACACTCCAGGCTTGTCAGGAGCACCACAGTCCTGTCAGGGCCCAGGGGCACCACCGGCCTCACGTGGACACCACCGGCCTCGCAAAGGCATCATGGGCCTGTCAGGGGCACCACGGGCCTGTCGTTGGAACTTCAGGCTTGTCAGGGGCACCACAGTTCTTTCAGATGCACCGGCGGCCTAGCACCATGGCACCATGTTTGGCCGAGGTCGCGATTCGGCGTATGTCGCCTCGCATTAGCCGCGCGTTTGCAGTCTTTTCGTGGTTTCAAACGTTCAAACATGGGATATGATGTAGCTCCCATGCATTAGGGTGGGTGTCAAGATCACCGGAAGGTCAGGTCAGATCATTTACCTTTGATGACCTCGGTTCACATTTTCGAGTTTTATATGTTTCTACTTTCTAGGCTAGTTTTTGGAGCTGAATTCGAATTAAGCAACCATTTGACCATTTACGAAGTAGTTTTGGTGCCTCCGTAACATGTTACGAAGCTGTCAGAGGCGGTTGCCACCTACTACGAATACCCGGCAAAACCCTTACTGGTTGACCTGACCTGACCTGACCTGGCCTAAATGCATGAAGACATCATCTATGATCATAACTAACATGATATTCGTGATCAGCACCCCGAAAAACCATAGCAGCCACTCTTTACGACGCTCTAACAGGTCCCGATTTTCCCGACTTTTGGGTCAATGACCTGACCTGGAAGGTCAACCGATGACCTAGGACCTTAAAATTGGGTATAATCGGCTTCCTTTTATCACGGGCAACACGGTCGTTTTTTCCGCGAAGCTCTAGCTCGATCAGGGGCGAAACGGCAAGGGGGAGGGTCCAACGGACCCCCCCCCCTATACGCTCGCTACTGGAAACACCAATACGGGCGAGGGTTAATGGATTATTAAAGACAATTTTCCAGGTTGCCCCCCCCCCCAGTCAAATTCCCTTAAAATAGGCTCTGCGCGGTGTGGTTAGATCTAGGCATCCCGAGGGCGTGGTTATGGATGTGGGATGTGCTGAGGTAGGGGAGGGTGGGGCAAAGCGGCCACCCTAACGCTTCTCACGATGCCAACGCTTGATCTTTAAACTTGAAAAGATTCTTTCTATACCAATGTGATCCCTATTAAGTTACCTTTTATTTCAACTGCGTTTTATTTCCAAAGGCGTTCACATATGGAAGGTATTGACAAAACTTTAAACCTATGCATATTGGCCACTTTGCCCCATACCCTGGGGCAAAGCGGCCACCGGCGTCTTCTCAAGTCCCGATATGAGAAACAAAATAGTTGCCTCATGTACGACTAGGGTATTTGATGGTGACAAGGTTTAAGCGAGGATGGATGTTTGCTTTGTCAGCATCCCACCTGTAGGTAAACAAAGAAAGGATTTTCATGAAAAAAACATTTAATTGCATTATTTGGTAACTCTCGCAACTGAAAAGTGGCCAAGATGAATGCATGACGACACATTTGAATATAAATAATGTTTTTTATCCAGATGAAAACAACTTATGGCCAATTGGGGGGTGGCCACTTTGCCCCGGCCACTTTGCCCCGCGCATACCGTCCGAGACAAAAATATTCCAGCTTAGATATTAGTGGGGTAAAAAACATTAAAATTGGTAGAATGCATGTACGATAACCATGCAATGCATGGACAAGAACGCTTATAAAAATTCCAAACGGTTATGAAATAACATAACATTTAAAAAATTTAAACATAGTTGGTATCCTGGCAAGAAATGCTTTTCCGTGTTTCACAGAACAATGGTGATGGGCCTGAAACCCCGGTCTGGCTCATTCGAATGACCGTGAAGAGAAATATAATTGGAAACCATAAATTGGAACTGACGCCAGCTATGAAGGGCTAAAACGATGGGTGGCCGCTTTGCCCCGGGTGGCCGCTTTGCCCCACTCTCCCCTACGTACCTATGCGAGTGCATCTCATGGGACGTGGTTACAATCTACGGATGTCGTTCGTTAAACGGTAGGATTTATCACTCCGGTTCTTGTTACGCAAAGGCATTTTATGACATTCGAAATTACAGTTGCATATCTATTGGTAATTAATAGACACTGTGAGGCTAGCTTGTAACTGTATGCGAGAATGACAAGCACATTTCTTCAGTTTTGTTGCGCATCATTGGCCTACTCGATACTGCGGTAGCGCCGCGGATCTGGGTGCGGTTCATGATGTGGCAAATTCTACTACCGCCACATAATGAGTAGGTGTTCGGTCTCTGACCTGAATTTTGAAACACCTGTACGAATACCGGTGGAACGCAGCGTCGGACGATTGTGTTCCTTGCAATTCAGTCACGCCACACGTGTTTAATCGGGGCGAGGCGGGCGGAAAGTGCTGGAGGATATGTTAATGAAGACAGGAAAGAGCAGGTTGATGAGAGGCATTCGTTACAGAGTGGCAAAATACAGGGTGCGTTTAATAGGTGTTCCGTTAGGGTCTCTTGTATCGCTTTGTTACACTTGCTGCTTGTCATAGTGTGCTGTTCGACTTCTTTTCATTAGGTAATTCGTGTCTCATATTAGAACATTCGGACCGCTGCAATGTCTACCAATATGCGGCATTGGAGACGAAACAAAGGCAGTCATGTGAATCTGCCGTGAATGACGTCTATGACGTGAATCCGCCATCCCGCCTGTTCATATCATCCGTGAGACAGAGATTGTCCACGCCTTCCCATTCCGTCTCATCACGTTTGACTGATTCGCCGCTGCGTGAATCCGCCTCCATCCCTGGCCTCAGATCCGGGTCGCGACTGTCGGCGCTCGTCCGACCCATGTGTGTCGGTGGGTGGCGGCGCCGACACCCCAGACGGAGCCGCGCCGGGCTCGCGTGTCAAGTTCGCCGCGCTCTGTCGTCGGCCCGCCCCGCCGAACAATGGTACAGCACTCGAGACGGCTCGGTATAGCGGGACGCGGCCAGAGCGTGACCTCGGCGGTCACCGCAGCTCCGGTTATGCAGATCCACTCGCGCGAACGAGAGGCTGGGATTGTGCCCCACCTTTGTGTACTCGTGTACGAGTGTGTAGGTGTCGATGAATGTGGAGGGTGGAGGAAATTCGGTCACCTGAGAGCGCGTAAAACTCTGCTTTATGGACACATTTGCTGTGACCGGTGCGGTCATGGGTTGAAGCATGTAATGGCTAGTCTGCACGTATCTGTTAGGTCAACGGATCGCTGCTGATTTAAAATGACTACGGGAGCTGTTGGGTACCGGATAAAGGTCAGACTAACTCCTAAAGGCATTTCATTCATTTGAAATGCATCATAAATACGCTATGCATTGCCTACAATTGGAATGCAGATAAATGAATGTCTGATGAGCTGTTCGTTACGTGGTTGCAATGTTATTTGCAAAAATGATTGCCTTCAGGGTGCATTACCTCTCACGACTCGAATCTCCGCAAATGTAATAACAGTCTATTATTAGGATGAACTGTCTCCGCTTTTGAAGACCACTACCTTACGATCTTTATTATGACGCTCTGACAAAGCATGTGTCAGAGAACGTGGATGGAGTGTGGGTGTTTGTGACGAAGTCGAGTGCCTCGTAAGATGATCGTGCTCAGGGAGATAGCGAGGGAGAGATCAGACAAGTGAGCAGCCACGCCACTAGAATGGAGACTGAGTGATGACGAGGTACGATAACAAATGGCTTAAGAGATGACGCGGCGTCTGTCCCCGTGACGCCGTGTCATGCGGGTGTCGGCGTGATGTCGTTAGGTGGTGACGGTGTTACGGGTAAGCGCGTCACGGCACATCCGCAGTCACGGCTCGATGTGACCTTCTTGATCGGGTGCCTGGAATCGCCCGTGTGGAATGACCTGACCTAAGGTCAGTGAGGTCACTATTTGCACTGTTCTATGTGACATTACAATTTTGAAGCTGTGTGCTGATTGGGGATGCCTCTCGCCAAACCTCGGATTACATGCCTCAGCTTTTTATTGATAGTGGAGTATTACGGTAGCTCTCTGTGCTCAGCGTGACTACCTGCCTGACTGGTCGATCACATTGTGTCGGTTCGGTAACAATAACCGGAAAACGACACAGGCTGTGACCCGAATCTTACCAGTTGATCCAATTATAACGTCATGGAGGACCTCTGTGTGAGGAATAACTCCTATGACGAATGAAGCCATACAGTCCCTGGCGCTTTCTCTCAGAAGGCGTTCGAGTGCTCATTGTCATGCCTGCCACCCGAAAGCCGATTGAGCTCTTTGTCGAGCTCGAAAAGTGAAAATCCGTGGAGAAGTGGAGCCGCGGGAGGCGCCTCGGCGCCGGTCGGAGGCCGTGTCACGGTAGACGGTGCGTGCCGCCCCGCCCGGCCACGGCGGCTCATCACCGCCGCCTTTATTGGAGCACGACCGGCGGCGGCCGGTGAAAGGGCCCGGCCGGCGCGGCGACCCGCGGGGAGCCCGGCCAGCGCACCCTCCCGGCTCCCGACGGCAGGGCCCCGCGGTGTGACCCGGGGCGGGGCGCGGTGGGAAATACCGGCCCCGGGGTGTTGATTGTGATGGATTAATGTGGTAAGATGATATAATGAGATGTGATGATGGTGAGGCGTGATGCGGAAGGGCTATTTGAAAATTTAGGCAATGACATTAAAAAAAGACTACACTTTTGCTGAACGTGCTTAGATCTTCTACCGGAAGTGGTCATCCGTCATTGTTGATTGAACGGTGAACGTGGTTTTGACTTTGACTGATATTTTGGGTGTCAGTCCGCTTACATGACTGGATACTCACAGAGGAAGTAGTTTTGCTTGTAGCGCATGATGGATGGCTCCGACGGATTCTTCATCCAGAGACGGTTCTGGTAGTTTGTGACTCGGTTGGTTCTGAAACGGAGACGTGCATTCAGTCAGGCGTTCTGTCGCAGGGCAACATTCCTGTTTCGGTCCGGAAGTGCCATCCCAAGACCGATGCGGTGGTGCACAGCCAGGTTTGATTGAAAAGTTGAAAACACGTATTCTACAATAAGGTAAAATGAAATGAAACACGAGTGCTGATTGTTTTCATCGAAATGATTTACAGCTCGTGTGAAATTTTTGATTTTGTTCACAAAGAGGGCACTCGTTCGATTGAATATCCGAAACCATGCAGGCTCCAACCGTTTATGTTCGCAACAGCTGGATATGGGTTTTTATCACTCGAGGTGGAATGCTCTGGTCTACATCGTGGTTCGAACATCTGTGATCTCATGAGCCTCCCGGACACCAAAATAGCCACTTGACCTGGAAGCCGGTGTTTTCCTCCGCGTTTTACACACAGGGCGGCACTGTTTCTGTTCTCTGGCACACTCTCTAGCCTGGCGCGGATGCAGCTCACGCGACTGGCGCCTGCCCGCGGTGGTTTTTGAGTAGGAGAGCACACTTGTGTCCCGAGCTGCACGGCATGGGTCTCTCGGGCCGTGACCGGGCGCCAGCCTCTGCGCCTCGCTTCCGGCGGGAAAGCGGGTCGGCGTCAGGACAAAGGCCGCCGCCCAGAAGGGTAATGGGTCGGGAGTGATCCACGGAAACCGCCAGTGTCGGCCGCGGGTGAGGTTAAGGAGATCGCTGAGAACAAAACGAAATTTAGACGACGATTGTTTGTGGGGTTGTGTGATTCTTTATTGTTCCGACCACGCGCAGAGTTGGGAAAAACGTGTGGAAGAAATGACTGTGCGTGCAATTTGGAACCTAGGGGCTGGGATGGTCTAAACTAATATGCTGCTCTTCACTTTGACTTTGCCCTTACGATGTTAACAATAAATACCTAAGTGCCAGCTTGTGTGATACGGGTCACCGTATAGCTCCCTCTGTCACGGCCACTTTGTCGGTGTTCGGATAAAACCCATAGACACAGTCGGTATTTGAGAAGCCCCTCACGCGCCACCCCGGCACTCAGCCGCCGTATTCAGAACATTGTTCGCGTTCACCAGGCATTGTTCCTCGTCCGGGGCCGGACGCGCATTCATCTCGTGAGTCCGCGACTGATAAGGGTAGCTGAGCTCTCGATTGGTGACAGTACATCGATTTGGTGACAGACGGTACGGGCAGAAAGTCGCTCGCACGGGACGGGCGAGCGGAGATTCACGTGCCAACGACATCGCGTTTTGGGTAGGATAACGTAAGTATTTGAACTGAGCGTAGCATAGTGTTTATAAACTTTGTGATTTCCAATGACTTTTGGTCGCTGATCTTTTGCAACAACGCTGTTTGGAAAGATATCGCCTTATAAAGAAGCGCCCATTGGGTGCCCTTTCTCAAGCTGAATACCGAATTGTACTTGCGCTGCGCAGTTCCAATCGCTACTCACAGGCTGTTGACGTAGCTAGTCTGGATCCTGAGCTTGTCGTTTCGGTCCTTGAAGTAGAGCCAGCTCCAGCACTGTGACAGCGGTACTGTTGCCTCGTTGGTGTAGATGTACTGCAGGTACCACCGGCCCAGGTACTGAAATGGGGAAACGTAAGATGTAAAAACGAGCAGACACAGAGGGGTCATGGAAGTTCGGGACCAGCACGCTCGCTCGGGCGTGCGAATTTCGGGCATTCTTTCGTCAACCGGTGTAGCCTATTCACCAATAGCCCTATGTTTTGTTAATGGCAACGCACGAGTTACGATTAGTGTCCCTCCGCGTCACGGCTGAGCAGTTCCTGTAGGAGATAGCGTAGTATACTACACACCCCCAGCGGCGCCGGTAGCGTGAGAAACCAACCGTCACGCTTCGTGCGGGGGAGGCGGGAACCTCTCGTCACGGTGAGCACTTAGTGCTCGTCGGATACTCCTAAATCCTGTCACCTTTCGGATCTCACCGCCTCCCCCTCTCTCTCTCCCTCTCTCTTTCTCTCTCTCTCTCTCTCTCTCTCTCTCTCTCTCTCTCTCTCTCTCTCTCTCTCTCTCTCTCTCTCTCTCTCTCTCTCTCTCTCTCTCTCTTCCTTCCTTTCTCTATCTCTTTCCCGTCGGTCGTTTTCTCCCAATCTGCACCGGTCACTTCTGTCCGCCCCTGTCACTTTTGCTCTCGAGCGATGGTACAGGAGATGCGTTTGAACGCAGTTCTGTCCTCCCATTACTCAACGCCATCTCTCCAACGATGACTAGAGATTTACATCGGAAAGCTTTGGAGTAGTTTCCGTGAATCAACTGTGGCTGCGATTATGCACTTTTTCTTTAACTCTCCTAAAATTCTACTCTGAGAAGCAGCCGTTGCGCTTAAACGCAGGTAACAAATCACTGTCTTGAACCAGTTTTTTGCGCGCTGGGACCATTATATGAAACCCAACAGTAAACATTAGTGACAACAGTAAAGCACACTATATTATCGACTGTAGTCGCATACAAAAAAGGTAATGTCGTAGGTAAACCATGTTAGAATGTTGTTCATGTTGAATTATGTGTTGACCGTTTATAATTGAACCTCAATGTTATTAGACAAAAAAGACGTTCACTGGATCATTTTTGTCCCCAAATACCTGCCGTCCGCTATAGTGATAATCGTCAAACACAACATTGGCGACTGACTACAGCTGCACACACAACAGTATCCAAACTGCCTCTTGTTGGTGACTACAACATAACCTCTAGCACTTGCACTGGCCCTGGTAACTGCAGCAGCACACACAGCAGTACCTACATGCTGCAACATAACACTGGCACCTGATACTTAAACTATAACATAACACAGCACTAGCACCAATCCTATCAGTAACTGCAATAACGCACACAAGTGTTACTCACGCCAGGCGACTGCAATAAAACACAAGACACTAGCACCGGTCCGTCCAAGTAACTGCATCAGCGCACACAACAGGAGCACCGAAGCTTAGGGTCATCGCCAACTGATGCGTAGTATCAGTCAAACAAGACTGTAAAGTATACATAGGTAGAAGTAACTAATAACAGTCTTTAAACTTGTGAGTTTTGAGGAACGAGGTTTCGAGGTTCAAGGATTGAGGATCGATGACACAACTTATTAGGTACTGAATGCGCGACTGAGCTGCATAGTTTTCAAGTATGGACTGTCCATCACAGCAGCATTTCGGCTTTCACGATAAGCGCTGTCCTCCAGAGCAGCATTTCAGATGATAGCCCACGTGTCTCCACTCTCCGCTGTTATCTGCTCTTTGAGAGATAGGGAAGAAAAGCCTGCTATACGCGTAAGGAAAGCTGAGTGAGTTTGCTGGAAATTTCTGGTCTTTTATTCTACGCAGTTTTGAACAAGGAACTTTTTGTACCTACTTATAAAGAAATAATTACTTCATAAACATAAACATCTACATATAGATCAGTGATCATAAGCGGTGATTTACTTGCATGGCGATCTCGAGAGCCGCACAACTGATTGATGGGAAGTCCTCCATCAGACTGGTCTCATCGGCACCGGGTTGCATTTGAAAAGTCAAAATTTTGATACAGGGGAAAAGAACGAAATCGTTGATAACCGGGAGGTCCCAAAATGAATTTGCATATTTTGAGAAGTGCCGCAACTTCGCCTTTGCCGATTTAGCCTTGTTTTGATACAAGTCTCCTAATAAACGAGTGAGCGCATTTAGTATTTTTCATTACATACAATTTCGAAAATCATAGGCTTTAGCGGCTTTAGATAGTTAACTATTCTACCTGTCTTGGCACTGCCTTAGGCTGCATCAGTTCATAAGAGGAGTTCAGGGTTATCAGCCCGTATCGGCCTTTCTTGCCTCGGTTTCAGCGTCATGTGGAGGCAAGCCAACGAGAGCTAGTGTTTGGAACGTCGTAAACACATAATGTGCCTAATATTTTTGCGTGATCGAAACGACACAGTCCTGCTTCTGCATTCTGCACTCGCTGCCAGTCATAGGCCTACCTCTGCACCCAATGCCAGCCATGCATCCACACCCAACATCGGTCCCATCTGTACCTATTCACCAAATGTCGGTACTCACCGAGTCAATATCGAACGTCTCGATGGCGGGGAAGCGGCGGCAGCGGCCCGACGCTCCTGCCGCCATCACCAGCAGCACTCCCAGTAGGCAGACGGCACGCATGGCGGCGGTGTGGCGGAGGAGATGGCACGTGTGCTCCGGAGGACTGCCGGCCGACGACTGGTGCCGCCCCGCGCGCCGTCGACGACCGCCACCGACGGCCCGGCGACGGCCGGGGGAGGATAGCGCCGCCACGCAGGGAGAGGGAGAGAGAGAGAGAGAGAGAGAGAGAGAGAGAGAGAGAGAGAGAGAGAGAGAGAGAGAGAGAGAGAGAGAGAGAGAGAGAGAGAGAGAGAGAGAGAGAGAGAGAGAGAGATGGGAGGGGGAAGGAGACAGTGAGGTGGACGGAGTGGAATTCCGAGGAATTCCGATTGGTCAGGGGAGGCTACTGCCGTTTGCTGGGGTCAGTATGTCGCTGCTATTTCAGATATTTGTTTAGGTGCGTTTTGGTATGTTCTATTCGATGGAATAATGACACCTAAAGCTTTTTTTCCAGCTAGCCATGCCTCGTTATCTGTTTATAACACTGGCCATTCGTTGAAGTACCTATTCGGTGTGATTCTTGATTGGCATGTACGCGTTCACATCTTATCATGACATTTTCGTATTGTAGAGAATGGTAATGCTATTCAATTATATGTTACCGTTAGCGTTATAATGATCAAGCCACATAATCGACAGCATTTCTAAATATCATTTCGGGGTGATGGAGGTGACGGAATGGGTGAAGATGGACAACTTTACAGCTGGGGACATTTCCCTAATCCCCCTCCCTTGAGTCTAAAGATCTGCCGTGTTATAAAAGCAAGTCCCGGTTAGCCTTCAACATTTGACGACGCTGTTTAGCCATGCGTGGCTATTCAGGGTTATTTTTGTCATAATCGACTATCAACCAGTATAGCGCCTTTTGGGGCGACTAACGGAGCGAGCGAGAGGGTGAGCCTTGCACGTGCGAAAGTTCGAGGGGGTACCTCCAACTGACTTGTGCACGGCACCCTACTAACCGGTCTCTAGCGAGGTGCCAAATTTGAGCACAATCGGCCCAGCCGTTCTCGAGATCTGGAAGCGGCACCCTGCACGTGCGCACGTGCAGAATGGGTCCCAACTGACTTGTGCACGGCACCCTACTAACTGGTCCCTAACCGTGTACCAAATTTGAGCGCCATCAGTCCAGCCGTTCTCGAGATCTGGAAACGACCCCTGCACGTGCGCACGTGCAGCAGCACCCCAACTCTGGCACATGGATATGCAGTGCCTAGGGGGTGCCTACCTACATGCCAACTTTCAGCGCAATCGGCCAAGTAGTTACCGAGATATTGCAACAATTACAAAACTGACACCTCTTCGTTTTGCGCGTGGCACGTGCATAAGGGGTCACCCACATGCATCGGGAATAGTCCAATACTTGGTAGAAGGAATGAAGCTACCCTACAAAAATTATCCCGTGTAAATCGGTCAAGTGGTTGCTGAGATATAAGCTTCGCAAAAGCGTCCGCACGGCCGGCCGGCCGGCCGCTCATACTCAGAAATTTCCGTTAATCTAAGGAAAGACTACGCTCGCTTCGCTCGCTCCGTAATTATCTCATTCTTTCGCTAATATTTATTGCGCCTTTCATAAAAGGTATATTTTTATTGGTATAGTTCATTGGTAAAGTATAATTGTTATAGCTAACTGCATGTGACCGATCTACATAATACCGAATCATTTCTGCGACAAAAACGCTAAGCACCTATACCTACATATTGCTTAATAGACACTTATTTACCTACAATAAGCTCAAATTGATGACTAAGGACTCAAGTAACGGTATTCGTATGTCAGGCTCTTATATTGTGAACAAAATAAGGCAAAAGGTGTTCCTTTAATCTTTCCTTGTGAAAAAATCAGTCATCGGTGACATCTCCAGCTAACCCCCACACTCACCTATCTTGCTTCTCTCCTGTTGGCACAATTCTGCTGCTGTGGTATGCTTGTAAGTAAGGTTCCTACCTTCTTTCCCTAACACGAATAGGCATCATGTCAGCCCTCCTCTCCAGCGCTCCATCGCTGTAAGTCATCGGGTCATCTCTTGACGAGCCCAAAGTGCCTCGCACCAGCTATTAGGCGCCTAGAAACCAGCCACGGGCGGCCGAGGTGGTTTATTGAAGGCCCTAACCGTGTCTGCCGGTCGGTTGCGAGCCCGGCGTCCCCACTTTGGCCGTTTTTTTGGTGGCGTCGTGTCCGACTTTCGTTGCCGGCCGGCCGGTGCTCCCTACACCGCTCGGAAGGCGATCATTAGGCCATGGTCACGCCGGCGCGATGGCTCACACCAGTGCCGGCACGGGCCGCTAATGACACCACCGTCCGTCGGCCGCGGAAATTAGCGGGCTGGGCCGCGTCCCTCCGTGCCCCGCTGCAGGAGCTCCCAGCACCGGCGCGGCGGCGTCCCTTCGACTTCCGCTGGCCGTCCGCTTTTCCGCCCCGAGCGGCCGCCCGTCGCGGGAAAGTGTGTAGCCGTGTCGGGTTTGATACATACCGCTCGAAAAGCGTGCCGTGCGGCGGTGTTGTGGCCGCCGTTCCGACCGCCACGAGCACGTGCGGTCGTGTCGGAGCCGCCTCTGCGGTCCCATCGAGCCAGTTGCACGTGCCGCCGCCGTGTTCAAACGTGCCGCCGCAGCTCGGTGGGATGGGGTGGTTTGAGGCCCCCGGCGAAGTCGCACGCCCGCCCGATCAGGGCAGATTGCAGGCTCACGGACCGCAGTCGGCACGCTGGAGTAGCGGCAGGCGCAGGAAGTGTGTGACCTCTTTGACTGGCGGTCGGTTAGATGGGCTGCAGCCTCAGGTCATTCGGGTAAAAAAGGCATCAGCTTAGTCCTTGAGCCTGACTGCACTGACTCGCTCACTAACAGTAAACCAATGAGCAAGAATGTTCTTGTTTTACTCGGCCTTAAGAAATAAAGAAGCCTTCCAATCGTTGGTAGCTCCACGGCTTACAACGCCACGGCCTTCTCGGTAATTATTTGCACAGCCGTGCTGCGTCCGGTCGGGTCAGTGACCCGGCTGGACCGTCCTCTGCACGGGGCCTCTCGGCAGAGCTGCGCCGTCGTCGGCCGGCGGCGCGCGCGACCGTTTGACCTAGCCCGTACCGCACCGATATCTGCCGTGTCATGACCGCCGACCGCGTCCAACGGTGCCACGACTGAGCGGTGTCGGTTGACAGAGGACTGATGCGCCGATACGACGCCGGTCCGGTCGGAGCCTGCGAGTGCTTCGGTCCGATTAGTGCTAGGAGGAAGATTAGGTCATGTCTTGGATGGATTAGTGAAGGAATGCAAGGGCATCTGACAACTTAGTGAGGTCAGACCTTATAATGACATTATTTCTGACGTCGGACCTTTTAGAAACATGTGAAATGCTTTTAGTTCAGCTTTGGGTCTTGCCTCGTGGATAATTCATCAATGAGTGCTAGGCTCACATCTGTATTGATAATTGGCTGTGTAGCTTACCTATAACTGCTGGAGCATGCTCGTATACACAGTCCACAGGGTCCAATGTTCATTGCCTGCCTAACGAAAGTAGAAAACTGATAAGACAATATCCCAAACAAACGCGTGGCCTTACCATTGTTCTAGAGGCTGGTCCGGTACCAATAATAAGTCACGCCCCATCCCCCCCCCTTTCCAAGACTGTCACATCGAATCGGTGAAAACACGCCCGTTCAGGCATATCGACGAAAAACATGGCTGCTCCAATTTCATTCTTACTACCCGGGCCAACTTCTTGTCAGAGTGATCTTTCACTCCGCATCATCTGCTATCTTTGTGAGACCGGCATTGATATGGTGATGTAAGAGAACATTTGTGTCAGACGAATGGTTCAGTCTATTGTGTGGCTCGAAGTGCCCGCCTACTCCGCCGGTGTATTAGTGGCGAATTTGGTTCATCAGTTCGGTGCGTAATGATGGACATCTGGACTAAATACCAAAACCTTTTGTTCTGAGCGCTAATACCAGACCTCACACAAGGGCCAGACCCTAATGCTCGCTGTAAAGGAAAATCTGACATGGTTTCCCCCTGATTCGATGCGAGAGCATTTCGATATTTTACCCTGGCACGTAGGTAGGTAAAATGTTGGCGATGTCGCTAAGTGGGCAATCGAGCAACTGAAACATCTGCGGAATTTTGTTTTAGCGCCATTAAAATAATTCGTAAACAGCATAGTGGATAACATTTCCGACCTCAGACAGACGAATAAACAAGGATAAATTTTCTAGCAATTTCACGAGAGGCCAAAAGTAAGCGGCAACTGCTCACTGCTGGCTACATCTCAGCTGAGTTGCCACGTCATCGGCTCCTCCATCTCCAAGCGTCCGCTCGTTTCGATCCATCCCCGCCGCTCTGTCAACAGAAAGTTGCGTGCGTATCGCGGCAGCTTTCAGCAAACTCAGGCGATGCGATCGTATACGTCAACATCCACGCCGACGGGATGTCACTTTTCGCGATTGGCCAGCTCTCTACGAGTATGCCGATCCGATCGCTCACCTTCTGGAGATGAGTCTGGCAGGAGAAAAGCTTGACACTCGGGCGACATCTCATTACGCATGCTGTCTGCATGACCGCATCCATGCTACCCTGCAGGGTCGTGGATGGCGCCGGGCGGCGACCGATGCAGAGGGATGCGGATGATTAGATGAGCTCCCCCCCCCCCCCCGCCAGGTCAGTAGGTGATTCCAGCGAGATGGACTGCGGCCGCTTAAATAGCGTGCAGAGGATTGGCTTTAGAAGGTGGGCCGTAGGTCAGTGAGGCCAACGGTGCATGATGCGCTGCTCATTAGTCATTGCATTGTGCTGTTGATTGCTGTGACGTAGGCGCTAATTGAAAATGGTAATGCGGTACATACGTTGGTAATTTTGACCATTAGAACGGTGATTGCGTGCATGCTTCCCGATGTCGGATGTTACTTGCGAGCTGAATTAACTATGAATTGAATTCCCTTACTATGTAAAATACAGGGTGTCCCAAAAGTAAGGTCATGATTTAAAACTTAAATATCTCGAGAAGTAAGAGTCCGAATCACTTCCAATTTTAACACGTGCAAGGTACATCCATAAAATTATTTTCTTGCATGCTTAAAACATTTTTGATCATAACTACATCGAGCAGTAGGCATAAAACTGAGAAGGTCGAAATTCAACTCTTAGAGAGGGTCCGTCATTAAAACAAAGGGTAAATACCGCCCAGTTTTCGGCCCTAAGCAGACCCTATCAGCTCGCCCTATCTCTGAACTCATGCATAGTTTCGCCTCAACCGGTAAAACGTCAGAAAAAAGGTATAATGTACGCACAGGGCATGTATACATAGCCACCTGTGCTTCGAGGTCCTGAGGACGACAGCGGGAATCGGGTGAAAATAAATCAAGAGAGGTGGCCGAGAGTCCTCCCAGTGGTTCTTCCGCTCGTCGCAACGCAGCTGTGCCGACACCATCAACCAGCAGTGGTTTCAGCTGGATGGAGACTATGCTTGCACCGTCCTGAAGATCATGCATTGTCTCCGAGAGTGGATGTGAGATCGCGTAATTTTCAGTCAGGGCAACGCCATTGAGTGGCCTCCGCGGTCACCTGACGTTACACCTTCATATTTTTATTCTCTGGGTACACAACGGAAAGGTTGTCTTTTAGGACAACCCAACGAGCCGGGAAGAACTAAAGGATGATCCCTCCGAGCAAACATAAGCGGCATCTCGCCGGAGAATCGCTCCAGAATAGTGGAGGAAGTAAAACGCAGTCTATTCGTGCACGCGGCCCGAAATGGTAGCCATGCAGAAAATCAGCAAATGTGGGGCTACGAGCCAATGTATTGACTCATATGTATATCAGAATAAAATTTTATAAAATGCTCTTTCATATGATGTCCTATTTATTTCTATCCATCGCGTATTTTTGGCGGTGTGGCCAAAACAAATGATGACCTTACTTTTGGGACACCCTGTACAATATTTTCCTCCAACAACAGAAAAACAGGACATCAACTGTCAATGTATTATTATACGTTGCTATTCACGGGACTGGTAACATAAGGCAATTATCAGAAACGCAGTGGGTGTTGGGTTCAACATGTTCCATTGGCAAGCAATCATCGCGTAATTGCTGAAAATAACAGACACGTGTGTGACTTACGGGTGGATTGCACGCACGCTGAGTCCTTTTCATGCCGGGTATTGATGGTTTCAATTATTTCGCACGTGACCAGGTTGCACGTGACTAGCCGGACCTCAGCTAATTAGTTGTACAGGGTTGAATGTGCCACATCTCCGAAGTAGGATGCGGCGACCTGCTGAGGCCATTTGTTTGCGTACATTGTCAGTTTCCGGACGGCAATCTGTCATTGCAAGTGTAAGTTTTCCGAGAAAGTGATTAACCTCAATTACATTCGTGTGTAGTGTATTCGTTCCTAAAATATGTTTACGTTCCATGTTTCATCCAATGTTTGGACCGCCACCGTTCCTTACACACAGCTAGCTCCTGATAGAGAGAATCATAGACCTCTGTACACTCTGTACATGAGAGAATGTATCAAACTTGAACTGGAAAGTGAGAATGAAATCAAATACGTCACTAGCTATTTTGTCATACAATGATAACGATCGAAAATTAACTCGTCCAATTACGTTTACGGAAGAAAACGTAATTAGTTAGACGCCGGTGAAAGACGACACCATCGGCTGGCGTCACGGCCGCGCGCGACTCGGCGTGACGGCGTCGGAGGACCGAGTGCGGTGGTGGCGGCGCGACGCTGCGCCACAATCAGAGCATTGCGCCGCGTCCGGGCCGGCGGGGTTTCACCGCCGCGACACCGAGAGACGCTCCAAGAACGGCCGAGTGTCCGCAGTCGGACTGTGTCCGTGTAGGTATAACAGTCGTGGAATAAACTGTAAACGAGTTCCTTATAATTTACCTTGAAAGTGATGAGTGATGAGAAAATGATGAAGCTGCTGATGCTGATACATAAAATGCAGGGTATCGGCGAAAAATATGGCAATTTCTAAAGATTTGCCCAAGCTCAATGAGATTAATGACTTTTGCAGCATTGCATTATCTCGCTCGTCCCAGCCCAAATCAATAAGCTATGACGGTCAGTCTCGCCCTAAACGACCGAGTGTTCCATCTTCCTCAGTCGTCGAGAAGACGCCCTCGGCCGAGCCGCCCCCGTGCTCGTTTCTCCGTGACTTGCGCTGGGCGAGCTGCGACTCCTGCCCTCCTCCGCGGTCCGTGGTGGGCGTCCAGAGCTCTGAGTGTGGAATCCCCGGCCTTTCCAGCACGCACCCACGACAGGCATGAGACCGGGTAAAGCTCAGCCAAGCTGGCTTTTGGTATCGGTTACCATGGAGTTGAATATCTCTCAGCATTTGACTACAAGTAACCATATGTTGGATTAATATGTTGGAATTCATTTATAGATCTGCCTTCTGAGGCCGTGCTCCTGAGAATGGGTGATACCGGGTCACGCCGTCCTGTGACAATCTTCTGCTGTGCCGCTGTGGTGAAGCAGAGACGGTACGCCGGGTTCGGGTGGCGCTGAAGCGTGACGGTGAAATCGCGGTGCGTCACACAACGCACAGCGCCAACGATTCCAGATGTGATCAATCGGGGGTCATGATACTCAGTATCATAACGCGGAAAGCACAAGTAAATTGTGAGCTGGCAGCTGCAATAATTCCATTTCTAAGACGGTTGTAGTGTCGGGCTTTCATAGGGATGAGCCACAGTTGTCAGCGAAAAAATATACGAACACCACTTATCCACAGTTAAATAAAACTGTGTTTGCAGTAGTTTTTCGTTTGGTTATGCCTATTAACCCGCGCCCAAGTGTGGGGGGGGGGGGTGTTTGAACACCTCCATGCGGTTTTTCGCAGATATCTCAATCCGCGCCGCCGTTTTTGGTACACATTATCATACATCAATTCTACACATGTTGTGAAAATTTCAGACCAAGGTTATTCAAGGTCAGGTCACCAGGTCACATGAAGTGACCTCACCTCATAAAAAGTTTCAATGTCTGCCATAGCTACACCGAGTGACCGATCACTTTGAAACTTTCAGCGATTGATGAGAGTAACAGTATCTATAAAATGTATATCTCGGAATTTTGATATCGGTGACCTAAGGTCAGGTCAATTTTGCGGCCTCTCCATTATAAGTCAATGGGAGAAAATTGAAAAGCGTCTGTTTTGCACGAACGCTATTCTAGACACTCTCAAACATCGAGATGTAGGTAAAATTGACACACTGAACCGGAAAATGGCAACTGTGACCCCTCGTTATGTCCCCGAGGTCATCTCAGGCACAGAGGTCACGAACAGAATCTAACAGTTTTTCGCTAATAACTTCTGATAGAGGCGTGCTAGAGCGCTTAAAACGCCTTAGATGTGTTCGGCTCGACGTTGCGGATCGACTGATATGCAACATGACCTTTTCCGGTCAGGTCATGACCTTGACCTGAGGTCAAATTTTCAAGTTGACCTTTCAAGGTCAACTTATAGTTCATTCGACGCGTCTCGACGAGAGGAACACGATGCTGGCAAAAGTAATGTCATGGCTCTTTTGAGTCAAAAGTTATCGCCGAAAAACCGATTTTCGTAAAAACGGCTATTTTTGGAGTTTTTGCCCTCTGGAGGCTAAACCGTTGACCTGAGGTCAAATCTGAGAATATTACTCAGAAAGGTCTGTAAAAGGTCTATCGAATGCGCTTTTTCGCGGCGCTGTAGCTCTATCGGTTCCCGAGATAGCCGTTGGCAGTTTCCAAAATGTTGAAATAGTCAACATTTTACCTTTGGTGACCTCTGGTGACCTGACCTTTGACCTGACCCAAAAAATGCCCGAAGTGTTTTCGTCCTTATTTTGGACGTTCTTTCGATTGCCGCTTACCGCGTGGTCGCTACGTGGCCCAGGAGCCGAGTTAGTTGGGGGGTGTTCAAACACCCCCCACACCAGGTCGTGGAAAATCCAGACTGACACTGGGGCACGGGTTAAGTAAAGTCCCTTATAAAAGCAGCGTGGTACATCACAAGTCACTTTTTAGTTTTGTATTCATTAAAGGAAGCCAGTTATATTGCACGCTAATGACATTTTTAGTGTGGTACGACACGCTACGCACATTGCAGTACACACATGTTGTTAGCTCTATTGTGAAGCCTATCCAAACAAACCAAGAATACATTTATTTCGGATCAAATGAGGCAGCTGTACACGTTGAGCAGGTCATTTCAATGACTCAGACACGACGAGATCTTGGTAAGCAGCGAGACAGCAAATGCACACTGCGACATACCTATCCGGTGCGTATTGCAAACATCGGTCGAGTGTTGTGAGTGTGTCACAGGTTTGTGGCGGGGGCCTTATTTTGTTCGCCAACAGCCTCTACTGAAGGCATTTCACCGTCAGGATGGTGTGTTTTCTTGTCTGTAGCCTCATCCTCCCTGCCTCCTGTGTGTAGGGCGCAGTGCTTTTTGAATCCTCCGCCATGTCTTCTATGCGCCATGGTAGAGCGAGGGCGCTGTCCCATGTCTCGGCGGCCCAGACTTTCTGCGAGATTTTCTTCTGGAGCATCGGGAGAAATGTCTCCTGTCGTCTGATCCTCACCACTCTCCATATCTGGAAGGGTGCTGCCTTAGCTGGAAGGCTTTGGCTGCCTTGACGGTGGCCTTATCTGAAAAAATCAACGAGAAATGAGACGTTTTCCCATCATTCCATGTACTCATTCAAGCGTGACACTGAACTTTTAAAACCAGAGACAAAGCCGAGGGCAAATGACACATGTTCCAAGCTTCACCCTCGTGCTACAGTGACATCACATTATGCAGCATTGTTTTTGTCTCTCCTGCCATAATGCCAATACAGTTTTCATATATTTCGTTGTATGAGGAACTGTGCGGTTTTTGTTTTGCTTCATGAATGATCAGAGGTGGTCCGTTTAACTGATGTTGATAAAAATCACAAAACAATTCCTGACGCCATGCATAACATATATACCTGCCAACGAGCGATGAGCTTGTTTGCATTATCAATCCATTCGTAGTGTCTCACCTCACTGAACCCACGCGGCGGGCGCCCCCAAAGCACACTGGACGCCGAGTGAAAGCAGACCCCCACACCACACACTTCGTTAGAAGCGGCCAAGGCCGAATATCAGGCCTGGGGGCAGGAACACGAAAGCAGCCAACGCCCTGTTACGAGCATCGAACGCAACTATGGCGCAGCTAAGACAAACGAGCGCGTTTTTGCGCTGAATTTGAATGCCGGCTGATCATCTCGTCGGCTGAGATACGTGCCTAAGGTGCCTCTTTGATTTTCACAACAGACAATCCGTTTGCATGCCTTGCATCGTCAGCATAGCTCGCTATCGGCACTAAGCAGGTTTCGGTTGGTAAACAGTTTGGAGACTGGGTGGCGGTCCGCCACCAGCTCCTGGCGGTATCGTTGGTGGATGCCGGTGATCAGCGATCGATACCATCGGTCCCGTCTCCGAATCTCCCGGACTGGCGCGGTGAAGAATTCGATAGAAAGGTACATAAATGCTAGTTTCAATATGGCAAATGGTACTTAACTCGATCGCATTAGCTGTGTAGTGTAAACGAACATCACAGCACAGTTGGCAAATAAATTCAGGGAAACTTTTTTGCCAGTGATTACTATTTTTCTTACGAATAAATAGCTCCTAAAGATGACCATAACGTGTTGACAATAAATTTTACCTACGAATTTTAATGGAGGTATTTGGTTCATCTCCTGTTTTCGTCTTTTCTATACATAGTGCATCCGCTTTTGATTCGCGGCGGCTTTCATTGGTTCATTTCATTGGTACCTACTACCTAATCAACAAGCTCAGTTCGTCCAAAGAACTCATAGCCACTCAACCGATTTACCATCCTCCGCTTTCCCATGACGAAACGGCGGGACAATGACGTTGTAAATGAGAAACTGCCTCGTCACTAGACACACGTAGGTACCTATACCAACAATCACATTAGACCCCCGAACCCCTCAGATTCCTGTCTCTCGGCTGAGGCAGTAAAAACGAGTAGCCTAACTACATACAATGTGAGGTGAAAGGTGTCCCCGTCTCTAATACGCCATTGAACTATTAATACACCCTCTTTGAGAAGACTTTGTGCTGAGATGTTACACAGTAAAATGACGCAACCGTCTTGACTTGCTGGATGTAGTGACGAATTTCGAAAGTCATCATATTTTGCTGTTAAGAGTAAAGCTTAATGGAATTATCGGTGTTCAGGTATTTTGGGCCTCATTAAAAGATAGGTAACTGAAAGTGAAACGGCCAGGGTTGATTGCTTTATTGCTTTGAAGTCCCGTTCAAGCAGGAAATACACTAAGACCGAAAGGTGTAACTCATTAAAGGGACCCTCCCACCTTAACATTAGTTTTGAGTTGAGATAGCCAAATTGGTGGCCATGGCCTGAAAATACCGGTTTGGGCATTCACAACATCGAAAAATGCTTTAATTCGGAGATATGGAATTTCAAACTTGCAGTTTTCGGATTCTAAGGGGCTAATGCATTGGTATGCCCCCTTAGAATTTGTGACGTCAGCGGAGATCTAACGATTTTTAAATCTTTTACTAAAACGTTTGGCAGCACGCGGTGGTATATGCTGCTTTGCGCGCAACAAATGCCGCACTTTCAAATAAAGTCGCTAGGAACAGCGGAGATCCCAAAAAGTAAACAAAAGTAAAAGTCTAATATCTTGAAAACCGGTGAATATTTTTCGATGAAATTTGGTAGATATTCGTTTTCGCTCTTTCTGAACCGAGCGACATCACTTTCATGCCAATTCATAAACTTTTTTGAAGGTGGGAGGGTCCCTTTAAGACCGAGAGGCGAAAGCGATAATTGTTAACCCTCGCCCGAATTGATGTTTCGCCAGCCTCGAACGTAAGGGGGGTCCGTTGTACCCTCGTCCCTCCCCTTGCCGTTTAGCCCCTGATCGAGCCAGAGCTTCGCAAAAAAAAAAACGAGCGTGTTTCCCGTGACGAGAGGAAGCCGACGATACCCGATTTTAAGGTCCTAGGTCATTGGTTGACCTTCCAGGTCAGGCCAATGACCCAAAAGTCGGGAAAATCGGGACCTGTTAAAACGTCGTAAAGTGTGGTTGCTATGGGGTTTTTGGAGTGTTGATCACGAACATCATGCTAGTTTTGATCACAGATAATGATTCATGCATTTAGGCCAGGTCGCATCAGGTCAGCTCAGGTCAACCAGTAGTGCCGTGTATTCGTAGCAGGTTACCTCTATAATAGCTGACAGCTCTTAAGTCTGCTTGTCATATGAATATCATGCCTGTACTATCAGTATGACTTATTCACTGATATGAGCATGGTGTCTTTAAAAAATACATTGTTACTATAGTATAAGCCTTCATGCATTACATGTTTAACCTATATCAGCAACATTGATTCTCATCTTTCTACATAACGAACCCATTGTTACGGTAGGTGTAAATTTATTCAACCGATGCCTATGCGTAGGTATAGCCGTATATATGGTTATGACTTCTTTGGACACGAATGGCTAACAAAGTGAGTGGATATTGGAGTGCTTGTATTTATGCTAAGGTGTGCATGTTGTTAGATAACCACATCAGCCGTTTTCCACACACACAGAAATATTGAGCGCAAAAACGGTGTAATTGAAAGTACCAAAAGGAACATTTTTTTGGTGTAAAATAACTCAGTTTTCTGGGTAAAAGAACACTTATATGTGTGTTTTGCTAGCTTCGGAGTGTTTCGCTATGGTGTAGGAGAACCGCTTTCAGTGTAACTTTACCGCGAATCTCGCGTTACATTTACGCACAAATATGTGTTTTTGGTAAAAAGTACCAAAAGGAACACTCGCGTGGTAATCGTACACAAATTCATGGCGGTAAATTTACACAAGTATGACGGTTATTATAACGATTTTTTTCTGGTAAAGCTAATGTTGGGCCCGCAAAATTTGTAACGCAAGCGACACGCGGCGGGACGTTTCGCCAGCCGCGAGCCTAGCTAAATGGAACGAAACATTGTGATGCTCAATGCCTACCCCATGCTGCAAACATGCTTATTTGTTTGTTTGTCGTTTATTTATAAGAATCGACATCACATCTGACGGAAATAAGAGTTAGATTAGCGCAAAAGCATAACCTTATCAATTATCATATACATAAGCTGACATTTCACAGGCGCATGGGCGCCGCTACAGGCCGCAGCCACCGCCCGTCTCCCGTCAACTGCCCGTAATTGATAGATAAAAAAATATGTCATCTGTACGCACTACTTCACTGTGCCAAAATTATCGTTTATTTAATTAGCCATAGGCTCTCTATTGCCTATCTGGTAAAATATCAGCATAACTACACCTAATCAACCCTAGAAAAGCATAAAAGTGCATCCATTATTTTCATAACACGACAGCAGTTGAGTTGAAAAATTACAAGCCCACCTTAGCACTCCGACAAAGCTGGATCATTTCCAGCAGCTCCTCTAATGTCGCTCCGCTTCAGGTTTCAGACTCGGTCTTGATTGCAGTTATCAGACGACGACCACAATGCAGTATTTCACTTATTATTCACTTATTCACTCATTACTCAGCTTATTATCCAACTAGATAAACACCACAGCACTGTTTTATCTCACTGATCGCACAAGAATGGGCAAACCCACTCTGCGCACTGCAGCCACAACACTCCCCTGCCGGCCCCCGCGGTCCCCGGGGCACAACTGACAGATTGCAAAAATGGCGCCGACGCCGTCAGCGTGAGCTCAAAATTTCGCTAAATTTACACGGGTCGACGTAAACGAATGGTGCTCTGGATGTGTACCGCAATTACCAGTGCGACACAACACTCATTTGCGTATGGATACACTTGCTTTGCATAGAAACATATCAGTTAGGTATTTGAACATCTGTTATGATGTTACATTATCCTGTATTGCGTAAAGATGCTTGTGTGGTGTAATAAAACTGCCGATGTTTGTTAGTTAACCAATAAACGTCGTATAAAGACAAACTTATTATTGATACCTTTACTTATTATGGCGTTGTGCAACGGATACTTTGCTTATTTATCACGAAAATACTTAAACTAAAGATATTTTACTAAGTGAAGCAGAACTTTGATGCTATTTGAACTATTTACGAGTATATTGAGCTTGACATCGCTCAATATTTCTGTGTGTGCATGTCATTCTGAACATCACAGCTCCCCCGTTGTCCTATATTCGTTGCGGCCGTTTTACTCGCCCGTAGAGCCGCTCCATACCAGCGCAGTATATAAGTGTGCCACACGATGACTTTCCCACCGGTGGACAATGGGGCGTAATTGAGACACGCGCCGGCCAGGTGTGACGGCCTTTGGTCGCCGCCGAGCCGGCCAGCCGCGGCCTCAGAGCACCGCCGAGACGCATCGAGCCGACCGAAACGGGCTGGCTGAACCGAGCCGACTGAACCGAACTGATCGAACCGAGTCGAACCAAGCTGACCGAACAGAGCGGACTGAACCGAGCTGGACCGAACCGAGTGGCGATCGAACCGAGCCGACCGAATCGCGCTGGCCGAGCTAGCGACTAACGAGCTTACGGAGCTAGCCGAACTTACTTATGTCAAACTGTGATCCAAGTGAGCAGGGAGGGGGATTTATTCAAACATCGAGTTGAGTTGAACTTCGGAAATCGCACGGCGAGCTGATTTACCGAGCCGAGTTTATAAACAGCTGGCCGTGCTATGGGAGCTCGGACCGCGGCCTGCAGTCGGCCAGTGAGTCGCAGCTGGGGAATTCGGCCACATGCCAACACGTCGATCCGTCATCCCGGCCATTGTGGCTCTAAAACGCCATGTGATTTATACCTCTCTGGCCCGGCGCCAGATTCGTCGCGGCCGTGCGGCGACTTTAATACGGACACGGAACTGGTGAACTCAAACTGGGGAGTCCCGGACTGCTCGGTGGACGGATAGATAGGCATTTTCATATGGCACCGAGTGGGAGTCGGGAGCCCAGGACAGCTTTTACCCTAGACAGCATCGGGTGGCCCTGTTGGCTCCCGTGGGACAACTGACCGTGGCGCAACTCATGAGATATTTTGCTAGTTTCCCACTCCGCGACGAAACTGTTGTAGGTACCCTTTTGTCTGTCGCTTTGTTA